GTGGGACTGCAGTTTGAACTAATTCAGTAGAATAGTGCATATTCATTCATAAATATATCATATATAAGTAAGATGCTGGGAGGTCTTTTCACTTTTATTGTGAAATTCTGAACAAGTTGTCCGTTCATAAGAGATTCTACATCAGCATAAGCTTCACTGTTTCTCACAGGTGCTTAAACACAGGTGTGTAAAGCTGCTCTTCATGTCTGGAAGCTCTTCTGCAGCCTGATAACAGGAACACACTCCAGATTACTGGGTTTCCTGGTTTTTACCTTGTTTGAGAACGCTGTTCAGAGTATGTGGTTCTATATGGGGTTCTAGCACTGATATCATAAAACTAACAGCCTGTCTGTTTCTGTCTGAACAGCTTCATGAAGTCAGTTCATTTATTTGGATGTTTAAATTTTCCTTGTTTGTCAGTTTTAGTATCAAAAGTTTATCCAGAAATCTTCGATAATTTTCTGATAAAAATGAAATGTGAAATAAACAACATTCAAATATAATTAAACCATGAAGACGTCAGAGCACAACTGTGATTTTATATGTTAATCAGTTCTGATTCAGGAAAAAGGAAATAGAATTAGTCCATTTTAGGAAAAATATGGATCTGAAAAGTCTGTAAAATTAATTTTTAGTTGAGAAGCTGGTTTTATGTCACGGTGTAGCTTCACACCTTATATACAGAAATGAATGATTCATAGGTTTGATAGAAATGTACACTCTTAAAAAGATGGTTCTTCAAGGGTTCTTTGAATCAGCGCTCAGTAGCAGTAATGCTAACCAATCAGCGCTCAGTAGCAGTAATTCTAACCAATCAGTGCTCAGTAGCAGTAATGCTAACCAATCAGCACTCAGTAGCAGTAACGCTAACGAATCAGTACTCAGTAGCAGTAACGCTAACCAATCAGTACTCAGTAGCAGTATTGCTAACCAATCAGTACTCAGTACCAGTAATGCTAACCAATCAGTACTCAGGAGCAGTATTGCTAACCAATCAGTACTCAGTACCAGTAATGCTAACCAATCAGTACTCAGGAGCAGTATTGCTAACCAATCAGTACTCAGTACCAGTAACGCTAACCAATCAGTACTCAGTAGCAGTAATGCTAACCAATCAGCACTCAGTAGCAGTAATGCTAACCAATCAGTACTCAGTAGCAGTAATGCTAACCAATCAGCACTCAGTAGCAGTAATGCTAACCAATCAGTACTCAGTACCAGTAATGCTAACTGAACTGCAGAGTAAATATCAAAGCCTCATAAAATATTTTGTCTCAAGAGTTTAAAAAATAATAATAATAATTGAAAAAGTTCTGTAACAATAAAATGTTCTACAATGTACTGATAAACTGAGCTGCTGAGCCAAATTACTACCACCAAACACAGGTGGTGCTTTGTTTAAGCCTGTCTGTAATTTTGAGCTACAGTGAGAAAAAAGCAATATCTAAAAATAAATGATATAATAATTAATATGCAGATGAGCGTTTTAGCTCTTAAAGCTGCAGCTCTGTTTAACTGGTTCACCACTTTAACATGCTGGTTCTCTGTGTGAACAGGTTTCAGGACAAGTCGACAGAATTTTCCCACAATATAAATGTTCAGAATGAGCTGCACTTTCAGCTGATTAACCAGCTGTACTCAGTTATCTAATGTCTGTCAGGCTGTGACGGACGAGCTGCTGACCGTCTGATCGTTTTTAAAGAAGCTGCTAAATAACAGAATCTGATTCCAGTGACTAACGTCAGTAACATGATCAGACTCGGAGTGAACATCAGCTCATTCTGACCGATCACTAAAGAGTGACCTGCTCGTCCTCAGGGAGCGTCTGGTTGGTCAGGAAACCCTCATGGAGGGAGAGCTACTGTGTCCTCCGAGGCTGAGGGGGGCGCTCTGTCCGCCAGCTTGATCTATTTTTCACTCTAAGCGCTGCTGCGTTTACATTCTGCTACCTGTAATCAGCCACTTCACCTTCTCTTCCTCTGATCCACAATCAGCACCAGCGCTGGCTGAAGGGAACAGGCTTCTGTGGAACGCTGAGCCAGACCTGCTGCTGTGGGGCTGTTTGTGTCCATCAGTTTGAGAAAAAGCTCCCAGACTTTGTTCAGTTCTTTCTCTATCTGCTCTCACAGGTTCAGCACTATAAGTGACCTGCTGACCTCTTCAGATTCAGTAGGTAGCCACTCTGGGTCAGACGCCGCTTTATTAATGTAAACAAAAAACTGACAACTGAAACGGTTGTCGCCAGTTTTTACTGCATGATCAATCAAGCTGAGTAACTGATTCAGCCCTATTTTAATCAGTGAATGAGTGATTGATAAAAACATTCTGAGAATCATGCAAGAAAACTGATCTTCAACTGACCTTTGGTCAAAGAAGCGTCACCCTTTGCAGAAGTCTGAGCTGGAGAACTTGTGCAGAAATAATCTGTGACAAAGAATTTCTGTCAGAACGGTTTTACAGTAAAACACAAACAGTGTAAACAATGTGTCAAATACAAATAAATAATGTTAAATAAGTTTTATACAGTGTCACAGGATTCAAATCATTATTATGAATATTAAAACTATGTTCTGAATGATGAATGGAGCTGTAGATTATCATATAAAGCTGTACGACATTAAGAATTCTAATATAATCAATATCCATAGTGTCCGAGTGGTGATCAAACCTGGCAGAGATTTTACAATAAAATGTTTATTTACAAATATTATACATAGGTATAGGATATTATTTATGAGTTATGTTCTTGTTGTTTCCAAAAACATCCAGAAATCTGTATTTGTGATGTATTTCTACAATATTTAACTCGCGCGCCGTTATTGACGCGGCCAAGACAGCGGGAAACACCCAGAGCTCCCGATGGGCAATTCAGGACGAGGCTGAGCTCGGCTTCCTTCCTTTCCCGGTCCATCTTAAATGGTGCAGCAGGTATGTTCTAGGTGTCAACTAATTTTCCCAGGTCCACCTTAAACGGTGCAGCGGATGCGTTCTGGCACCTGCAAGCACCAGTACGTACCCGATGGGCAGTTCAGGATGAGGCTGAGCTTGGCCTCCTAACCGCCAGATTCTCTTTAGAACTATCCTGTCCACCTTAAACGGTGCAACAGATACGTTCTGGTGCGAGTGAATTTCCCTGTCCACCTTAAATGGTGCGGCGGATGCACCAGTACGTAACTGCTGCACCATTTAAGGTGGAACGGAAACTCTGATTGAGAAGCTCAGCAGAGCCTCGTCAGTCCGGACCTGGCCAGCTCCCTCCGCGCTGACCGCCTTGTTTTCAGCGTGTTAAGCGAACGCTGATCTGAAGCGCCGCGTAGCGGAGAAATGAGTTAAACAGACTCCATAACTTCATCAGTACAGACACTCCGCTAATACACGGGGCAGCTTTACCCACCACAGCTAACCGACCGTCCGGCAGGCGGGAAGAACTTTCGGGAATCCGGGCATCGACAACCGGCTGCAGCTTAGCTGGATCAGCTACAGCCTGATGGGAGTTTGTGTCTCAGTTATTTGGTGGATTGATTAGTTTCACTTCCTCAAAATTCATGAAGCTGCTTAGATTTATTGATTAAATCTGAGCTCAAATGGACTGACGGTCAAAACATCCTGTCAGTTTTAGTTAAAGACAGCTTTATTAGCTCTGCAGCTAAGGCTAGCTCTGTAGCTAAGGTTAGCTCTGCAGCTAAGGCTGGCTCTGCAGCTAAGGCTGGCTCTGCTGCTAAGCCTGGCTCTGTAGCTAAGGCTAGCTCTGCAGCTAAGGCTAGCTGTGTAGCTAAGGCTAACTCTGTAGCTAAGGCTGGCTCTGTAGCTAAGGCTGGCTCTGTAGCTAAGGCTGGCTCTGCAGCTAAGGCTAGCTGTGTAGCTAAGGCTGGCTCTGCAGCTCACCTGCTGTGGTACCGCTAGCCCTGTTAGCTTTAGCTTATGTAGCGTAGCCTGTTGTCCTCACAGACTCTGAGGAAAACTCTGCTTTAAACAGCTCAGAAACAGATTTCAGGTTTCACCAAAATATCTTAGGATCATTTTAGGAAATTTGTCCATCACTGTCCACCTCACCTTTTCACCTTTCACCTTTCACCTTTTCCCCGTGTTCACTGCTGCTGCTGAATGACCAAACTCCGCTCAAACTGTGCGAGGGCAGCGCAGCATAGATAGATCAGTCTCTGTGTTTGGGGGAAACAGTGGGGTTTTGTCAGATTTATTTCAAAAAGTCATGGAAATTCATCTTCTAAACATTTTATTTTTCATTGTAAATTAATAAAAATATACTCAATAGCAAATGATTAAATAAATTCTCCCACTCAAAAACATGTTATGTTCATTCAGTATCAGGCAGGTGAGTGAAGAGAATATTGTTCTTTTTATGTTGTACAGATGTTTTTCATTTTGAGTTGTAGGAACGTTTTTCTAAATGTATAACGTTTTGTGAACAATGTTCTATTAATTTTGTGTGAGTAACAATCTAATAGTGCTGTGACGCAGCAACACACAAGTTCTCAAAATGTTCCAAGAACATTATTTCTGTAATGTTACTCTGCTCTCCTTTGAATAACGTTGCTGAACGGTGTAACATTCTCTGTTAGCTGGGTAGCACCAGCGCTCAGTAGCAGTAACGCTAACCACTCAGCGCTCAGTAGCAGTAATGTTAACCAATCAGGTAGGTCCACCAAGCATTCGTGCTGATAACTTGATGATCCCTGAATGTTTATCTTCAGTTCAGCCGTTTAAGCAGCTCAGCTTCATGTCTGAGAGGTAATTTAGAGCCGAATGAGTCAAACTTTAAAAATCATAATAAAACTAAGAGGATCTTTGAAATTCTGCACAGCTTCATGATTTGTGTTGAAGTTTTTACTGTAATTTTACTGTAAATCCATGATGTGACTGACAGGCTGTAGGTGAGCTGGTGTGGAGCGACTCTACAATTCCAGCTTTATTGTTCTTTGATCTGTTTCCTGCTCTCTGGCGTCACTTCTAGCCTTTCTTCTTTAAACTCCTCCCACTGAAACTCCTCCTACTGAGGAGGTGCTGAGTGTGAGGCGTCTGCAGAGCTTTACAGGCTGCGCTGTTGGGATCTGCTGAGTCCACTTTTGTTGGTGGGTTTATGGAGAATTCTGGATCTGGAGAATCACTCTGAAGGGAAATGATCACTAACTGGATCTACAGCTGCCTGTTTGACTGGAAACACACCTGAGATCAGGTGAGAGTTTCACACAACTGAAAGTGAAAGTCTGAGCGTTCTCACTGGACGGAACAGCAGGGGCAGGAAATGGCTTCCAGATCTTTCTCAGAGGAGGATTTCTCCTGTCCTGTGTGCTGTGAGATCTTCAAGGATCCTGTTGTTCTGCTCTGCAGCCACAGTGTGTGTAAAGTCTGTCTGCAGAAGTTCTGGGAAACGAAAGGATCCAGAGAATGTCCAGTTTGTAGGAGGAGATCTTCAATGGAACCTCCTACAAACCTGGCTTTAAAGAACCTGTGTGACAGGTTCTTACAGGAGAGAAGTCAGAGAAGTTCAGCAGAGTCTGAAAACATCTGCAGTGACCACTCTGAGGAACTCAGACTCTTCTGTCTGGACAATCTACAGCCGGTGTGTTTGGTGTGTCGGGACTCTAAAAAACACACCAACCACAAATTTCTCCCCCTTCAGGAAGCAGCACTCGAATACAAGGTGGGTTATGAGTGACCACACTTTGTCAGAAGCTCCATAAATTCACTAAATTCAGCTGAAAATAAAAATAACTGGTCATTTTCCTAAATGTGTGACCTGGATCCTCACTCTGAGAGACAGGAACACATTGGGACACCAGTGTGGACTTATTTAGTGTGTTCCATTCTGAAGGCAGCCTTCAAAGGTTCCTCTCTTGTTGGGCAGCATTTTAACCGAAAAGGAACCTTAGTAGGCATCGCATTCAGGACGGTGCTTCAAAGCCATCATATGTCAGAACTTTCACTGCGCTGTACACGTCTTACCTGTTTACTCACAGTTACTCATTAGCTTACAGTCCCCTCTGACTGTAGAGGTGAATCACCTCCGTATTAAAGGACGGCTTTGAGTCTCCAGCAGCTGTTTTCCTGCATTGACACTGTTGTCGGTATTTGTGTATGAAGAACAGGCAGCTGTAACGACTCGTAACGTTATGTTGTTATATACTCGACTCACCGCCACAGATAAAAACACATAATTGTGACTGAGTTTATGAATCATTTCAATTCATTTACGGTCTTCATCCACCATCATGAACCTGCTTTATTTCAAACACACAAAGGATAAAAACTATGAATAATTTTGTACAAAAAGCACTCAAAAAATGATCGCACACAATCCGTTAAGCAGCTAATATTTATTTTATTTTATGCATTTCTCATCTGATCTAGTCTGAAATTTAGCCGTCAACCTTCACCTCACACTTTGGGGACTGTGATAAGCACAGCAATACAAGGCATGCAGAACGGGAAAAAATAAGCAGTTGTGGTTTATTTGTAAAACATTTTATTTCTGAATCTCTACATCGTCCAGTAAGTTGAAGTATTTTTCATCGTTCAGGGGAGAACGTCAGTCTGTAGTGCTGGTTCCGCTGTTTTTCCCGAACACCCTTGGCAAGTCAGCTGCTTTCGGTCGTTCGGCACAGTTTTCTCCCTGTAACCGCTCCTCGTCCTCAGCCCCTCAGACTGCGGCTCCCTGCTGTAATGTTACGTTCCTGAGGACAGAAAAATCCCGGAGTACTAACGCTGAACTAAACGCTACTAAACAGTGAACAGCCAACATTTTAAACTGGACTTTTAAACTCTCCCGTTTTGAACAGCCAGCGAGTTTACACAGCTAGCTTCACCTATTGTGTTAGGCCTGAAACATACTTCACACAAGGATGCGAACGCAGACGCTTCGAGCTACGCAGACGGGACATAAAAAGACGACATAAAATTTGATTAATTATCACATTTCCAATCCAAGAGAAGAGGTAAAGCAGCTCACTCTCCTCTACTGTCCATGTTTAGCTGTTGAGGCTGTTGGAATAACAGTAGATCCCTCTCTGATTTGCACTCTATCGCCCCCTTCAGGGCTGAGTGTTTAAACCGTCACAGTGGTAAGATCGCGTGGTGAGTTTGTACAGAAGGACCGAGCGTTTGCAGTGCGTTGACCGAGCGCAGATGAAAGCATCCTTGAGTGAAGTATGTTTCGGGCCTTATGAACGCAGCCTGTCGATTCGCCTTCGACGAGCGAACGGCCAACATGTTACCACAGGAACAATGTCTACAGATCTACAAACATAAATATGTTAAATACTTTACACAAATACAACAATCAATCAAAACAGTAAAGTCAGAAGTAAAGAAATAACTCACATTTGTAAACTCCTTGGTCGGCAAAAAACATCTGCTTCGTACACCATGTTTATCTAACTGAAGCGATGGAACCCGAGCAGGTGAATAGTATTGTGGGATTGCCTTCACTGGGAAGGATACATGTGATGTTGCCTTCATATATGATCAAAACAATGACCAAATAATTATACTGCCTTCCAAATGGGACAGCATTCATCTCGGGAGGCAAATGCTGCTTACTTAGACAGCTGCCTCCTGATTAGAATACACCATATATCTGGCTTTGTTTCTCACTAAAACGCTGATTTGTTTCAGGAGGAGCTCAAAACTGCACTGAAGCCCCTGAAGGAGAAACTGGACGTCTTTAAAAGGTTTAAGCTGGATTTGGATCGGACTGCAGATCATATAAAGGTCAGAGTAACAAACTCTTCTGAGATTATGAACCGGATCCTCACATAATCGCTCATATTTCATTAGATTCACTGCTTCCTTCCAGACTCAGGCCCGACGCACAGAGAGGCAGATTAAGGAGGAGTTTGAGGAGCTTCACCAGTTTCTACGAGATGAAGAGGCAGCCAGGATATCAGCACTGAGGGAGGAAGAGGAGCAGAAGAGTCAGACGATGAAGGAGAGGATTGAGAAGATGAGCAGAGAGATATCAGCCCTTTCAGACACTATCAGAGCCGTAGAAGAGGAGATGGCAGCTGAAGATGTTCCATTCTTACAGGTGAGTGTCGCTCAGTCAGCGCTAAAACCTGAACAAGGAACCAAAACGAACAGTTCTGACTTACAGAACTGAACTGGGAACATCGTCACTGTCGACACTTTCAGAGTGAAAACTTCAAATAAAATCTATCTGATCAGTTCAAATGTATAGAACTACATTAATAATGTATAATTTTCATAGAAATATATCATTAATATCCCTCACTCAGCTCTCTCTCCCTCCTGACGTGCTGCTGTGTGAGTGGCGTTAAATAAAGGCGGCCGGTGTCGAAGCGTCTGAGTGTGCAGGGTGTTCACTTACATTCAGGCCCATGTTTTGAGGGTCTGTGATTCACATATGTTTATTATGTTATTAATGAATAATCGTCTCTGGTTTTATCAGCGAAAACTGATCAATTCCAACCCCTGTTTGATTTTCTTAGTCCTCCAATCAGTGATCAGCAACCTTTACTGGATTATTCTACTGAACTGGTTCAAAGTCAGAGTTGAAAACATATTTAACTGATTTGGACTTTTCCTTTTGAGTTCACCGTATAGTTTAATTATTTCATTAAAAGAAATGAACATTCCATTTTGTCACTACCAAAACAATCATAGCACTGCCAAAACTTTACCCAGTGCTTCAGTAGTGACTGTTTCGGTAATGACAATTTTAACTCATTTTGAGCCGACTTATACAGCTGTACATTCATAAAACAAACAGAAAACAGAAATAGAAAATCTGTGTTTCGGTAGTGACAATTCTTAATATTACACACTGATTTTCAGACTTTGGGACACATTTACTTCAAAACAATGCTCAAAAAAAAAAACTGCTCACCATGTGGCCATGAGGGACAGGGATGCAGCCTCACTTCCTGCTCTAAATGCAGGGGGTGGATAAAATAATAATAAAATGTATAATAAAACTATTTGTGTTTCGGTAGTGACGTAAACACCTGGGATAGCATTTTTGAATATTTAAAACTGTAAAAAAAAAGAATTAAACTCATTATAAATCTACATATTTCAACTTTGAAATAAAAAATGAAAAAGCACTAAAACGTACAAAAAAGTAAGTATTATTTTCAGAAATGTAGGACTTTTAGATCTAGGTTTGGAACAAACACCTCCCAAAAGAAAATAACCAATAAATGATGATTTTTTGTACTTTAGTGGGGATTCTACGTATATTTGACACGTATGACCTCTGTGGTGTTTCCACTGTGTGAAATTGTTTGTTTAGTAAATAAAAATAAACCCATGACTGAACGGAGAGCAGAGTCACTGATCCACTCTCACTGTTTTACAGAACTACAAGGCCACAGTGAAAAGGTGAGTGTTACTGTCTGCCGTCTCTCTCTTTTCTGTGGTTCTGAACTCAAAGCTTCAGCAGCACTGAGTCCTGAATGTTCTTCCAGAGCTCAGCTCACACTGCAGGATCCAGAGAGCCTTTCAGGAGCGCTGCTCCATGTGGCCAAACATCTGGCCAACCTGAAGTTCACCGTCTGGGAGAAGATGCAGCAGATCGTTCACTTCAGTGAGTCTCACTTTCTTTCTTTCTTTCTTTCTTTCCTTTATTTTTCTCTCATATTTTGTCAAGCTAGGATTAAGACCCCCCACAGGCACCTGGGTGTTGAGGCTCTAAGCCCCCCATCCTCCTAGTCCCACTATTGTCACCCCCCCACCAGCCCAGACACACATTATTAACATCCACTGTAACCAGTATGTGATAATAAAGCAGGTATTACAGTAACTGAAGGGATACATTAGATCATTACTGAAGCGTCAGGTCAGGTTGATGTAACTGTTTGTCCAGCGACTCTTTTCATTGGTGTATAAATGTGATGTAACTGATAAACGCAGCATCACAGCTGCAGGAAGTCGTCTTTCCTCTGATCTCACAGCATCACAACAGGAGCGTTGATCAATTTAAAGCCAGACAGTATAAATTAGTTACAGTGTAACTGAGCTTTAATGTTTCTCATATCGATACAACAGGAGGCGAGTCCACATGGAGAAAACAGAATAAAGTAAAAGTCTCTTCCCTATAAATCAGCGTCCACTTATGAGGAAATTTCAGAGCCTAAAACACAAACCATCCTAAACTAAAGCTCACAGAGGAATGAAAACTGGTTACGGATCACTATCTTACCTTTGAGGACTCTGTGCTCAGAATGAGCCGCTCACTTTCTCAGCATCAGTAAAAGAGCTGTTACACACCAAGTTCACAAACCACTGGAGACACAGACACGTCTGTAAACATGAGCTGACGGTCTTTAAATGAGTGTTTGTCTCTGGAAATGGGTGCAAAACAGCAGCGTCCACTCTGTCAGGACCTGCTGAAGCTGGACTGGGGTGATCGCAGATAGCAGCAGATAGTAAACAGTGTTTGGGGGGCTAAGAAACGAAAATAAGGCGGGACCCCTCAAACCATCAGAAATGACACGGAGAGCATCAAGATCTTAACTGGACACAATACAATGATCCTCTGACAGAAAACCAATCAGATTTGATTCTGTTCAGAAACGCAGCTACAGAAACACTGCTGTGTGTTTCAGTGGGCAGAGCTGTGGTCAGTCTGGGTGTCTGTGTTTGTGTGAATGTGCTGGTCAGTAAGTGTTGCTGTGAGTGTTTTTCAGTAAATCACTCCATTCAGTGTATTTTTCCTGTATAAACTAAAGACGCTTCAGCTCTCAGAGCCCCAGCGTGATGACCCACGTCTCCCTGACCGTAGATCTGTTTAAGATACAGTTTAACTCTTATTTTCTAATATTTATGAGCTTATGAATTGAATAATATTCATAAAATAGGATAATAATGATTACAGTAATATTCTGCTGTCAGTGTTTAGTGTTTAAATATAAATGTACTGCATTTAAACTGTAGTTCAGTCATTACTGTAAACAAACATTACAGTATGAGTGCTGTAAATATTAATGACAGTAAATACCTGAAAGCTCTGCTGCCAGTGAGTTACTGTACATTTAAAGAGGGATTTGTTTTACAGTGTTTGATTAAATTCATGATGTATTTTTATCTCTGTGTAAATATATGTGTGTATTTCTTCTTCAGCTCCTGTAACTCTGGACCCCAACACTGCTCATCCTAATCTCATCCTCTCTGATGATCTGACCAGTCTGACATACACTGATGAGAAACAGCAGCTTCCTGATAATCCAGAGAGATTTGATAGACGTGTATATGTTCTGGGCTCTGAGGGCTTCAACTCAGGAACTCACTGCTGGGATGTTGAAGTTGGAGACAGTGAAGACTGGGTACTGGGTGTGATGACAGAGTCGGCTCAGAAGACGGGATGGATATTATCCAGGAGAGGAGTTTGGCGTGTGTTGTATTACGGTAGTGAATATAGAGCCTGGTCTTCACCACAGCCACTTACTCCCCTCTCAGTAGGTCAGACAGTGCGGAGGGTCCGAGTGCAGCTGGACTGGGACAGAGGAAAACTCTCATTCTCTGATCCTCTCACTAAAACACACTTACACACTTTTACACACACATTCACTGAGAGAGTGTTTCCACTGTTCATACTGGTGAAATCAGCCCTGTGAAAATCTCAGCAGTGCAGTTTAGTGTATCAGTGAATCAGCTCAGTTAGAGCTCATTCAGTCTTTGTGTGGATCAGCACTGAAACACTGATTAGTACTGAAATGATCTGCAGTTATAAGAGCTGTTCAGTCACTGCAGCTCAGATCATCTGAGAATCTTACTGAGCTGCTTAAACATGTTTGTAGAAAGTTTATCTGCATTTCAGCTTTGATACTTAGAATGTATAAAATTGTAAAATAATACATTCAGAAACATTTGTGGATTATTCTACGAAAGTGATTCAAAGTCAGAGTTGAAAACAAACCAAATGCAAAACTGTATAGTATAAATAATGAAAAAAGCATTTGCTGTATTTGATGTTTGTTGATGATGCCTTTAGAGGGCGCCAGTGAGTTATGTTTGTTTATTTAATATTGTGTTCTTTTACTTAACAGTTACACTCTTTAGCCCAGTTTTGACGTTTAGTCCATTCTGTTCCGTATGATTCAGAGCGTTTTTGGTGAATCTGCTCCCCATGATTCTCTAAACTGTTGGCTGGTTCTAATTTCTCTGTGGATAAAGAGTTTGAAGCTGCCGAGTCCAGACGCTTATGAAACGTTCCTCCAGGAGAGCAGAGAGAAGATCTACAGCCGTCTGCAGAAGCTTTAGGTCAGCAGCCCTCACCAGCCTGCACTGGACCCAGCAGGGGTCAGAGGTCGTTTCAGCCTTCTGGCTCAGATCCAGAGACCTCAGAAACCATCAGGCAAACTGTTACAAAACAGCAGTTTTACTCAGGCTGAGTGAGGCCGGTGCAATCCAGCCACCGAACTGAGATTTGTTCAATAAAAAACGCAGAGAAGTTTTTAGGACTCTGTTATTTCCTGACAGCGGTGCGCGTCTCTGAGTACGCCGTGACCCAAATCTGAGGAATACGTTTTAAGAACCGTGTGAGGATGAACAGAAATGAAGATATCAGCAGCATCACAGGCTTCAGGGATCATTCTTCCAACCTGTACACAGCAGTTTTTGGTCTGGAGTGGAAATGAACATCACTGGGAATTTCACTGATCTGTCTGAAGTTTCTGCATAATTAAAAGGTTCATATATAATTTCATTCAGAGCGGTTTGGTGTGAAACACTTGGTTCTAGATAAACTTACAGAGTCAGAATTGTTCACAGTGTTAGTGATAGGAATCAGGAGATATATTACAGAAACTTACCTCTGAACTCTGATCTGTTTGGTCTCCATGACGACTTCAGTACAGACTGAATTTCGGACAGTAGCTCTTACAGAGTAACAGTTCCTAACTTCATCTCATCTTTAACTCCAGATAAGAAAACAGCATCACACAAACATCCTAACTAGACTAAACCTCCTAAATCCTGTCCTAACTTTAGGATGAACCCCAACAGGGTCCTCACTTCTGTTTAAGGTCCGTTTCTATGGTTTTTAGGCAGCTGAGTCAGCAGCACAGTTCACTACCAGCATAATGAGCTCCATTTATCTCTACTGTAAAACGCTGCTTTCACTGTGAGATGATTTTCTTTTCTAACTCTGCGTTTTAAAGATCTCAGACGCTGCAGACTCGATCTCCACCGCCCCTCTGATCACCTTCGTGTGTTAATGTTGATGATGAAATATTACAGTGATGGTGGTGAATAATGAGGAGACGGAGCTGAACGTGTGTCTGTTTATTAGGAGGAGTAACGTTAGCGCGCTCGGCTAAAGCGTTTGGGAAATGGAGACTGAAACTGGGGAGCGGCGACGCTCTGATAAACAGCAGGGGGCGCTCTCACAGTATTCACAATGCTTTAGTTTTGTTTGACTCTTTTTTTTACTGTATTGATCACTTTGATTACGTGTGTATGTTTCAGCTGTGTGTGTTTATGGTCAGTTGCTAGGAAACAGACATGACAGCTGATTGCCGACTGATTGAGTAGGTTAAGATTTCTTAACTGGAGATAAGAAGCTGTAAGATCAGATAAAAGTCCTAAATTAATCAGATTTGCTTCTGTAATATGAATCTGTGAAAAATCTTGTCTTGACCTGTCAGATCTTCAGACAGAAAGAGAGGTTTCTGTAATACGGCCGCTGGTGTCCACCTCTAAAAGCTCCCTCACAGAAAGTTCCTACATGAAATGGTTATGAATTCACTGCCTGATGACTGAGACACTGTTTTATGATAGTTTGGAGAAGATTTTAGCCTAAAACAGTTTTTGCTTTAGATTTACCATGATTGTTTCATATAAACTCAGAAGACTCGTGTAGGTTCACTGGTGGTTCTGGATAGTAAATAAAATGTCTATATTTGTGTTGTAGTCATGGCGACCCCTGGTTCCTATCACCTCCACTGTAAAGACATCTGAACCATTTCACACCAAACCACTCTGAATCTCTCTGTTTACACCTCACACACTGAATTATGGGGGAAATCTTAATTCCTTTTCAATGATTTAAAGACATCCACTTTTTTCAACATAGTCTTTAATGAACTGGAAGACTGTAATAAATCTTCTTGTTTTTATATCATAATTCAATCCATTTCAGTCACTCCTGAGCATCCACACCGAAGAGCAGAACAAGAGGACTTCAGCTTATTTAGTAAAAAAAAGGAAAAAGGTCTAAAAACATATTCTCTTCACTGGAGCTCAACCTGTTCCTGGACATTCATGACCACAGTTTTCCTCTACAGCACAGCTGAGTCGACCACTAGTCCTCAGTCAGGTGTGTTGGATTCTGGCTGGACCACCTTCATCCTGGTCTCTGAAGGTGAAGCAGGAGTTTCTCTGGTGGACACTGACCTCCACATGTGAGGAAAGTGCTGCATCTACATCACTGTTCCTTCAAACTCTCCTTCAAAGTTCTTTCTAAAGCCAGACAGAAGCCCATCGTCAGGGTGGTCGTCTCCCACATCTTCTGCGTTTGAAGCTCAAAACTGAGCTCCACGAACTCCAGAGCTTCTGGTGGAACAAACTGAATGTCTACATAATATATTTAATATGTGAAGTGCCTGCTTTTGGCAGGTCAGCCTATTGTTATGCAGTGGAGAGAAGCAGCAGTAATCTGAGGATTAGAGCAGATTTAAGGAGGGATGCACCAATCTGACTTTCTCACTATTACTCAGGATACTGACCAATACAGAGTAACATGCTGTTACAGTTTAAGAGTTCATTCCAAAACATGATGAACGTGTTTTAAAACATTTGCTAATCAAGGATTTTTAAAATGAACACTGGATTAGTATTTCATATCAAACCATAGCTTTCTAATTTATTTTAGGTTTGGTGTTGGGCAAACAAATAAATCTCCATTCATAGAACCTTATTTGTGGAGACGCTGCACAGAACCAATGTCAGTGTTATGTTTAACCAATGACATGATAGACTAATCCAGACATTATGTACTGTACATTCAACAGGCTTAAATAAAAAAAGCTCTGTGCTAATGAAATCATTTGTTGGTTGCCAACAGCTTTTTTTATTTTCTCTGTCTTCAAGGCTGCCAGCAGCTCAAGATGCTCTCAAGATTTTACCTAAAAACTTCCTCTTTCTTCTCCAGCTCTCCTGAAGCCAGTTTTGAACCAGAGCAGCACAGCTTAAACCTCAGAGCATCTATCAGTGCACATTTCTCTTTTACTGCAATGGATAAAAAGCAATGGGCCTCGTTCTCCATCCGTTCTTAAGAAGACATTTCTTAAACCCACTTACGCAGTTTTGACGAAGACTCTGACTCACCAGTGTTCTCTTATTTGGTGTTGGTTCTTAGGTAAGAACAGAATCTACACACACTCAAGAGCACAAAGGTGAGAACAGTTCTGTGCTTTAAGAACACGTCATGAATCTGACGGAGACTTTTTCTTAGGACCTTCATCAAGAACACACTTAAGAACAAACTTGATATACTGGAGAATGAGGCCCACTGTCTTGCACATGTTCAAAGAAATCTTGGTAGACATTTAAGAAATAGCTATAAATCTGCCGTTTACTACGTTACGTTGATAAAAATGCAAAAATCTGAAACAGTTTTTGCTGGTGAAGCTGGTGTGAAGCACAGCAGAATTAGAAAAGCACTTTTATTCTGACAAGCTTTATTAAGAGGAGAGGAGCTTTTATTTGACAGGCTGCAGTGCTTAGACCAGGGGTCGGCAGCTGCTCTGGAGCCGCATGTGGCTCTTTTACTGCCCTGTTGTGGCTCCACAGCAGAATAAGATCTGTAGGTAAAAATAAAATAATCCTCCTTTACAGTAAAATAAAGCTCTGCTGATCGTTCAACACAGTTTAACAGTAAATGGTCTTAAACTCTGGAGTTAATGTAGAACTGCTGATTCACCCTTTAACCCTGAAGATCAGTGCAGACTGCTGGTCACCATAGCAACACAGACAACAGTCTCGCCTAGCTAGTAGCTAACGAAACGGCAAAGAGAGAGATTTAACCTCGATAATTTGGAGACGAATGGACTTATTTGTGTTTATAATCACTCCAGCTGGTTTCCTGATTCGTTTAATCTGCAACGAGAAACTGAAACACTAAAAAGTCACGAGGCTGAAGTCAGTTTCTCCTTCGCCAGCTTCTTGTTCGAATTGTCCCGTTCCACCTTAAATAGTGCAGCAGTTACATTCTGGAGCCTCAGGCACCATTTAAGGTGGAACGGGAAAATTCAAACAAGAAGCTGGCGAATGAGAAGCGACTTCAGCCTCATAAAAAAATCGAATGTTGAGAGACATTTTACAAGAAACTGTTCTACTTTAGTGGAAAAGTTTCCTGCTGGAGATGCGAGAAAAGCGGCTGTAGCTGAGCTGAAACTTAAAGCAGAGCAAAGTAAATTTGCATTTTTGTTTATATTTTTTAGTCTATACTGGCACTTCAGCACATACTGAGACATGTTTACAGCCAAGACAGTAAAACGTTGTGGCTCCCAAGGTGGTTTGATTTTTGTTGAAAGGACAAAATGACAACATTTATGTTGTGACTCCTGGTTTAGACGAACACAAGTTCACTTTGCAAAGAAACACTCGTTTCTCTGTAACAGTCGTTCATAATTATTATCTGTTTGTAGATCATTCAGTTCCATTAATAACAACACAAAGTGAGAATTTGAGGTTTAGCATGTTTTGGAACGACACACTTCCCTTTTTATAGTGTCTAAGAAACACTATCGATAGTGGACTGATACCTGATCAATAAGGTCAGTATTGGTGCCAAAACCAATTCAGTATCCAGATCCATTATCAGATCGGTGCATCTAGATTTCAGTGTTTTATTGTTTATAGACTAACATTAAACTGCAAACTTAAAAACGTGTCCCTTAAAACCGAAGCTGAATCAAAATGGGAGCGAGCTCAATGTATTCAGGCCATAAAACATACAATCTGTTATCAAAATAAATACAAAATCTCTGCAGACCACGAGCACAAAGGATCATTAGTCAACAGGAGTTATTATTTCATCCCTCTATAAACACACGTAACTCGTATCGTTTCAGCAGGACACACCGGGTTCTGCGAACAAAAGGGCTCATTTTGTTCATTTTGCCGCCCAGTGTGTTTGTAAATGGTCATAGCGTCCACCAGAACCAGAGTCCAGACCTCAATCCGGAGCCCACTTTCCCCAACAGAGCAGAACGCACTCAACACAACGTTCTCCACACACCAGAATTTATCTGTACACAGATTTTTCAGTACCAAAAGCAATCGTATAAAAGTCGACCCCGTCCAGCCCGACTGTTCTGTCCTGCTTCACGCAGACGTGCTAGCACACAGTCTTTGGTATAAATTAAAGTGTTCTGCGTGAGAGGTCAGAGGAACCCCACTGGTCGACAGAGCCAGTGGGTGATGGCCGGCCGTCTCTGCTGGACACCGAGGAGCTTCCACAGCAGCGCTGATCCCACTACTTACTCACCGACAGCAACAGATTGATCTGGAGGAGAGCAGAGAAAACAAACACCAGCTTTAGAGTGATTTATCAGCCGACTCGACTCCTTTATCTTCAAGATGGACCGTAAGTGATTTCACCATGACCAGCACTGCAGTGTAAAATGAATCTGTCTACACATCAGGGGTTGTAAAATAAGAGGGATGTTGAGGAGAAGTGAGTCCAGGGATGTTGAGGAGTCCATCCTTCCAGTAAAAAGCTAACTTATAAATACTGGCCAAAAAAAAAACGCAAACAAAGCAATAAACACGTTCATGGGGGCAGTCGTGGGCTGGAGGTTAGGGAACCAGCCTTGTGACCGGAAGGTCACCGGGTCGATCCCTAAACCGACAGGATGTGACTGAGGTGTCCTTGAGCAAGGCACCTAACCCCCAACTGCTCCCTGGGCTCTGTGGATAGGGCTGCCCACCGCTCCGGGCAAGTGTGCTCTCTGCCCCCTAGCTGTGCGTCTTCACTAGTGTGTATGTGGTGTTTCACTGCACAGATGGGTTAAATGTAGAGGTGAAATTTCCCCGTTGTGGGACAAATTAGGGTCACTTAATCTTAATCTTAATAGAGACACATCATAGGTCTGACTAAAGTTGCAAACTTTTAACAGCTGCAATAACATCTTTAGGGGGCGGTGGTGAGTAACGTTTGTTTGATGCCCTCAGACGGAGGCAGTAATTTGATATTAGAATGATTACTAGAGTGTTTGCTAACATAATAAGCTAGCTGGGTAGCTAATGCTGACATTGTTAGCATGTATGCCAATAAGGTTCCTCCTGATCATAATCAACAGTCATGCCCACTGTTTCGGTACCTGTTCCATGGACGGGCAGGCGATGATCTGCAGGTCCTCCCCGCTGTACTCCTCCTGCAGGACAGTGTGCAGCTTCTGGAACACTTGCTGGATGTTGTTCTGGAAAAAGCAAAGACGCTCACTGTCTCTGGGAACCAGAGCTGGTTCTACCTTGTGCTTCCACTCACTGGCCACTTTATTAGAAACTCCTACCTTGTGCTTCCACACAATGGCCACTTTATTAGAAACACCCACCTTGTGCTTCCACACAATGGCCACTTTATTAGAAACTCCTACCTTGTGCTTCCTCTAACTGGCCACTTTATTAGAAACTCCTACCTTGGGCTTCCACTCTCTGGCCACTTTATTAGAAACTCCTACCTTGTGCTTCCTCTAACTGGCCACTTTATTAGAAACACCTACCTTGGGCTTCCACTCTCTGGCCACTTTATTAGAAACTCCTACCTTGTGCTTCCACTAACTGGCCACTTTATTAGAAACTCCTACCTTGGGCTTTCACTCACTGGCCACTTTATTAGAAACACCTACCTTGTGCTTCCTCTCTCTGGCCACTTTATTAGAAACACCCACCTTGTGCTTCCACTCTCTGGCCACTTTATTAGAAACACCTACCTTGTGCTTCCACTCTCTGGCCACTTTATTAGAAACACCTACCTTGTGCTTTCACTCACTGGCCACTTTATTAGAAACACCTACCTTGTGCTTCCACTCTCTGGCCACTTTATTAGAAACACCTACCTTGTGCTTTCACTCACTGGCCACTTTACTAGGAAAATACACAACCTACGGGCCACAGAACGTCTCAACATACTAACATAGGGGAGTAACACAAATTATTGGTCTATAAACCACACCTGCTATAGGTCAAGATGACCAGTGTTCAGAATGGCCATCCCTCAGTGGTGTTTTGGTAGCACCACATCTACCAGGTCAAATCCAACAGTCAACAGATGCCAGATTGTCAAAAGCAGCACCTCCTAAAGGATCTGTGGAAGCAAATTCATCTTCACCACCGAGATGGCAGCCTAGACTGTACCCATGTCCGTGTACTAGCCAACCTACCAACCAAACTCTACCAAATCCTGCTAACACTCAGAAGGCGCCACAGTCTTCAGGTGACCAGAAAGCGGTCTAGGTGTAGAGAACAGCAGAAGCTGCCGGGCTGATGACTCACCCTAACTGGTTTGAAGAGGATGAACTCTGTGTCCTTATTCGCCAGATATAAAGACATGCTCTGTAAGGTTCCAGGCAGCTTGGTCTTCAGAACACGATACATGGACATCACCAGATCATTGATCTTCGCTGTAGAGGAACATAAAGAACCTGCTTAATCCTTTTAACCAGAAACTTCACAATGAAAACTTCTGTTTCATAGATATGAGAGAGAAAAAACTGACTAATGCTCTTAAAATGTGGCCCAGCCCCATTTCTTATTTTTACCCTCTACCCCTTGTTTTTTCAAGGGTCTTCTTGCCCCCTTGGAACTGAGTTACAGGGTAGTGGTTGAAATCTTCCCTCTGAAATGGGACCCTCAAATAAAAAGAGCATCACTTCATTAACAGCTACCAGCGCTGCTCTGTAGGCGACGCTGCCAGTCTGCAGTGACAGCAGAGGAGGGTAAAGTTCAGCTCCTCACTGCTGGGCTTTAGTTACATTTAGGGCATCATATGACTTCAAAGAGGGGGGCAATTATTTATTATCACCACCCCTAATTCTTCAGTGATATGAAGCTGAAGTCAGATATTCACCAGATTCTTGTTCGAATTTTCCCGTTCCATCTTAAATGGTGCAGCAGATGCATCGTGGTGCTACATTCTGGGTAACAGCCTGAACGATTTAAGGTGGAACGGGAAATTTAGCCTAGCTACTGAGACGTCAGCCTTACTAGGGATTTTTTATGCTTGTTATGAAGAAATGAACCATAATACACTGAAACGACATCAAACTAAGACAATACAGTGTTTATCGTAATTTTTAACAGAAAAAATTCTCACATCTGTGGGTTTATTTGGTCTCTTGTGCAGCCACTCTGTTTGGAGACTCTGAAAAACCTCCGTTTGGAGGATCGTGTAGCCCCAACACTTCACCCCACCCCTCTATCTCAACATCTATAATCCCTATAAAAAAGCACTGACAAATAGAATAGGGGGTTGTGGAGCAGAGCCTAAGGTCGCCCAATGTCAAGTGAAGGCTAGAGGGGTATAAAGCCCCCCAGCATTGAAACCTGCAGGAGGTAGTGCTTCAGGAAGAGGGTTGGTGACCACTCTTCTACAGCAAACCATCAGACCAAATTTACCCAACAACACTTAATGAGGTCAGATGATTAGTTCATGACCTTCTGATAACTGCTATCCAGCTCTGAGTATGATTAATTAATTAATTAATAACTGCTAATGATTAAAAATCATTCATTACGTAAAGAGACGACTCACCTGGCTGAGCCCAGGGCTGCTGGGAGAGGTTGTAGGTCGGGCCTCCTTGGATGGCCATTGTTTTTAATGCTGATATCTGCAAAAACACACATAAAATAGGTTCCGTGTTAAAGTACTCGCTGTTCCGCCGCTCTGCGGAGGCTAAACAGTCTGTTTCCATGTAAACATTTTCAAAAGCCAATCAGAACAATCACATCTATAACAATAAACAGGCTACAGCTATCCAGCATAGCTAGCTTCACACAGCTGCAGGTCTGCAGATGGACAGTTTCCAAATATTAGTAACAAAAAAGAAAAGAAATAAAATTATCTGTGTTCATAGTTTTATATAGAACCATTTTCTTTACTAAAGAACCATTTTTTGTAGCATGTAGTGTAGCATATAATTATTAATAAACTGTGATAATCTGTAATCTGCATGTTTTATGTGTTATTAAAATAGATTAGCTGAAAATCAAACGATAAATCCTTCGAGATGCAGCACAGCTGGACGTGTATTGTGTGTTGGTAGCCCTCAGTTTTACTATCTAGCCCCACCAACTGCTGCTATTGGTTCTGCCATGCCCTTAATCAGTGGTCATTTGTGAACATTTTCATTTGGCTGACTGGTCTGAATGACGAAGACTGTGAAAATAACTATTTCTAAGTAAATAATACACTTTTTACAGTTATTATAGCACGATATCTCTATTTAGTGGAATATAATTGCACTTACATTTACAATTTTACATGTGGTTACTGTCAGCTTCATCTTTTCTCATATCTCTCTGTTTGGAGGGTCATGTAGCCCCAACACTTCGCCCCACCCCTACCCCTCTATTTCAACCCTACCCCTAGACAGGAACGCACAAAACAGAGGGGTGAGGCTGAGTGGTAGGGGCGAGGGGTGAAATAGGACTGGGCCTAAACTCATGTGAAAAATGTCCAGAGTAAATAAGCGCATATTAACCATATGTCAGTTTTAGGTTCCAGCTACAGTCCCGATCACTACAGGAGGGGAAATTCTCCTCCACAGTTCTCTGAAACCCGGCAAAATGCTTAAATCTATAAAAATCATCCAGAAAAATGGAGTAAAAATAAGTTCCTTTTTCTGCAAAGAGATTCGGAAGCACTAGTGCACAGTATGGAGTCGCTCTCCAGATCAAGCCCAAAGTGAGGAACGTTCTCCTCTTGTCTCCGATTTGATCCTTAAATCACACGCCTGCCACACAGCAGAGACTTCGCTCTTTCATCCTGACAACGAGTCAGACGTTCCAAAGGCACTAAGTTGACTCTTTAATTTTCCTTTGACTTCCTGAAGAAAGTAGCAGCTCTCAGTGCAGCGGCAGCTAAAACGCCACAGGCAGAGAATAAACAAGCGTCAGAGACACAGCGGCTGCTTTAACAGCGCTGCGTCTGTTTAATTTAGAACTGACTTTAAAATTCTTTTAATGGTTTAATTCTCTCAATGGTCTGCAGCCTTTTGCGTATCTGGCTGTTATTTCAGACGTAAAGAGCGTCTGGTGTGGACTTATCCAATATTCCGAGAGCTGAACCCCCAAAATGGGTTTTGTTTTTTATGCCTCCGAAATCTGGAACCGCTTCCCGCAGATAATCCCCAGACGCCCTCTCCCAGCGGCTCATGACACACTTATTTTCTTTACCGCTCCTTCAGATTCACTGTTATTCTTAGACTCGTAACGAGCCCGTCCGTCTCCCGCTCCATTATTTTGAAGAGCTTCCAGTTTAACAGCAGAACGCAGTCGCGTTTAATCCATTCAGAGACTTGTTCAGGCCTTTATTGGGTCTATCTGTGGTTCCGTCGCTTCACTGGAACCTTCATCCCTTTCTGGTTGTGCCTGTTTAGAGTCTTTGGCTGAGATGTTGGACCCTCATCTTTCAGCAGCACTCAGAGTCACAAACTGATGCGCTGTGGCACTATAATAAAAGAGAACCATAGTTCCTGATGGAGAACTAAAGAGTTCCTAAAGAGGAACCACACAGTTCCTTGAGCAGGAATGCCATAATTCCCATTAGAGAACCAAACAGTTGCTGCAGAGAACTATACAGTTCCTAAAGTGGAACCACACAGTTCCTAAAGGGGGAATGCCATAATTCCCAATAGAGAACCAAACAGAAATATAACAAAAGAACAACTCGCTCCAACATTTAGAACTTGGCCTGCAGTACCAGTTTTAAATACTTACTGTCCATATTGCATAACGTTCCTTTAACTACATGATTCCTAAAAGAGAACCACACAGTTCCTAAAGCAGGGGTGACCAATCCTGGTCCTGGAGATCTCCCAACCTGCAGAGTTTAGCTCCAACCCTAGTCTAACTCATCTGATTGAAGTAATGAAGGTTATCAGAGGCATCTGAATATTAGAGGCAGGTGTGGTAGATCTCCCAGACCAGGATTGGGCACCACTGTCCTAAAGGGACTTGAGGAATACCTCACCTGCACTTCAGCAGGCCGGCTAACTTCGGTAGCTTGCTAGGCAGATGTCTCACTGTCCTCCAGACTCACCTTGGTCAGGAACTCCTCCAGACTGCCCACGAACGTACGGGTCTGCTGCTGGATGAAATGCTCACAGCTGGACTTCAGGTGTCGGTCCACGTCCTTCTTCGAGTCGATGTAGTGCTCCTTTATCTCTGGAGTTCCCTGAAACCAAAATAATCACTCAAAATCAAAATCATATGCGACAACAGCCCCCTGGATCAGCTTTCCTCCATCATCTCATGGGGTTTCTGACACTGTATGACTCACTGTCATCTATTCTCATGGACTAAAGTACATTAGCACAGCTACACACAGCAACAGCCAAATTTTCACAGAGAACAGTAGAGTCGTCCCAGTCTAAAGGAGAGAGATCTGAGCTGATCCAGACATTTTTTAATGGATCAGCTATCAAAGCTGAACTGATTCAGCTCTAATTCTTCATATATATAAATATATATAATATATATATATAATATATATATATATATATATATATATATATATATATATATATATATATATCAAAAACGAATAACTTCACTGGTGAATATTACAGCAACTGGTAGCCACACCGGGGCGGCACGGTGGCGCAGTGGGTAGCGCTGTCGCCTCACAGCAAGAATGGCCTGGGTTCGTTTCCCGGTCGGGTGACCAGGGTCATTTCTGTGTGGAGTTTGCCTGTTCTCCCCGTGTCTGCGTGGGTTTCCTCCGGGTACTCCGGTTTCCTCCCACAGTCCAAAAACATGCAGTCAGGCTGATTGGACGTGCTGAATTGCCCCTAGGTGTGAGTGTGTGTGTGAATGTGTATGTCTGTCTGTCTGCCCTGTGATGGACTGGTGACCTGTCCAGGGTGTATCCTGCCTTCCGCCCAATGACAGCTGGGATAGGCTCCAGCACCCCACTGCGACCCAGAAGGATAAGCGGTTTAGATGATGTATGTATGTATGTATGGTAGCCACACCAGCAAATTTCATCATAATTTCGCCAATATTAACTACACTATCCTCATTATTCCTGCGTCCCTTGATGCCTTGAGTGACTTTCAGACAGAACTTCCGGCAAAGCATAAACCTTTTATATGCTAATGGCATCCTAAGATGACAGAAACACACACACACACACACATTTTCTAAACTGCTTATCCTTCTGGGTTGCAGGGATGACAGAAACATGCGAATAAATTCAAAATTAAATGATCTTTATTGTTGGGATGCTTGAATGCTTTAGTGTCTGTTTATAATCAATCTGTCCACAGAAACCTGGTCCTGTGTGATCAAAACGCATCAGTCATGATTCTACACAAATGACTTACTGTAATAACGTCAGTTAAGTTCAACTTCTTCTTTTTACACTGTCTGTGTTTACAAGCAAAGATTTTTGCCACCCCAATTAAATACATACACCTCAGTCTCAGATTCAGACTGAGGTGTTTATTCTCACTCTTCTCAACAATCTGATGGAAAATCTCCGTTTTCATGCTCACTACAAGTAATCCGATCCAAAACAACGCTCCTGCGTAGAGAACCGCTTAGTGCAGACGTTACCATGACAACCAGCATCACGTGAGTCCAGTCAGAGTGAGATGAGCAACAGTGAGCAGTGCTTGCGTTTTTAACTGCTTTAAAATGATGTCAGACTCAGGAAAACGTCCTTCACATGTCCTTATTAAAGAAGGCCGAGAGGAAGACGTCGTGTTCTGAGACACATAAGCTGGACGTCCGTCCCACCGCCGTCTTTTAAAGCTCAGAGCATAAACTTCGTCTCCTCTGCAGACCAGTTTCTGCTCCACCATGTTGAACGGTATAAACTGTCACTATGACGTGACGAACATGATCAGAACGGACTTAGACTTACCGATAGGGAATGTAATCAGATACAGGCGTTTACATGGATATTATTCTTCTATTTAACTGATTATTTACAGGATTACCCACCTCGATCAGTCGGATAGACATTGTATTCCGAATGGCGTCAATCGAACTTATTCCGACTGAAGTGTTTGCATGGACATATTCTATTCTGATTGAGTAATTAGCCAGATTATTAACAAATTATTAGGCTGCATGTAAACGTGGCTGCTGTCAGGTACAGGCACAAAAGTGTAAAGCAATGGCAATACATAGTGATGTATAATGGGCACAAATTTCAATATTAACAACTAGGCTTTTTTCCAGCAGTGATTTAGATTCTGCGTATGTCTTTTTCGAGATGTTTATGCTCATAACATTCCTATTTGTGCCGTATTTTCAGTTTCACTCAGCCGCACAACTTAGAGATTTATTTAATGGGTGATAATGATAATTTAACAAGCACACGTTCCTTGACTCAGCTAAAACAGTAGTGAGTGACACTTCCCTTCCCCAACTGGCCTTAGTCTCAAAATACAGTGGTCATGTGAAAAAGGTGGATAAAACATTCATTAAAAATATGTATACATTATTATCTATAAAAACACAATCAGATCAGAATCAGCCGGTACTCAGTTTGGATCAGAAGACAAAAAAACTGGATCTGGTCATCCCTATAACAGTACGCTAAAGTCAGAAAGCACATAAATCAATTAGAAGTTAAAAGTCTATTATAAACTACTAAGCAACGCATGGTTTGAGGAGCAATTTGAGTAAGAAGCCAACTTTACTAGCGTTTGAGGCAGGTGTGTGGTCTAGGCATGCAGTTAGCACCATGCTAATTGGTGTACATAAGCTTCTGTTACTGGTTAGTTGCATTAGCCTCGCAGCTCCAGTGGAAAACTAAAGGACAAGGCAACCGGTGTGGGAGGCGTCACAGTCTGACAGGCTGAATAAACAGAATCGGTACCTCCAGCAGAAACTCCAGGATGGCGTTGTGGCTGTTGAGGCGGAAAAATTTGGGCACAGCTTTGGGGTGGAGGATTTTGAAAGCAGCGTCTGAGAACAAAGACGGATAAATGGATTATTTAGAATATGTTTCTTCAATACAACATCGCCATCTGGTGGCAGGTCATGAGCATTACACCTCTTTGCACTTCACAGAGTTGAATATAAAAGGGAAATTTCAATCAAAACAATGTTGAAGAAATGAATGTAATGATATTAGGCTGTTAAGCTTCTGCTCACAGCATCGTTGGGCTGAAATATCGTATTAAATATTATACAGAACAACCCTCTGAAAACGTGCAGGCGTCCAGGATAACCCACCTCTAGTTTTCTTCAGGTCCAGTGAAATCTCTTTGATGGCGAAGTCGGCGTGGAAGGGCGCGATCTGCTCTCTCAGGATGAGGAGATGCTTTATGAGGAAAAGCTGGCCGTCTATCTGGCTCTGTATCAGCAGAAGAGGATTCATCACACATTAAAACCTTTCTAAACTGGCCAGGCTGATTTGTTTAATCATTAAGTATGACAGTTTCAGTCTCTACTGGCTGTGTGATCACGTCTGAGTGAATAAGGATGAAAACTAACATTCTTTTTATTGGTACATGATCCCCGATCCCGTCTCCAGGCCAGCGGCCCAGAAGCAGCTGCAGTTTTCGGCAGGGTTTGAGGGGTTTTTGGGGTTTTTGGGGACTCGGCTGTCCAGGAGCGTCTGGCTGCTAAAGCTAAAGCAGCCCGTGTCTAGGCGGATTTGTCACAGACTTGAGGGAAAGAGGCTTTGATCCTGAAAGCCTTCACCCCTCTCAGACTGAGCTTCATCAGAACGACTCAATCCTGCACCCAGATCCACACAAACAGGAGACGCACCAAACACGGTCATTATCATGCAGCACTGCAGCGCTGTTCCTGTTTACTAACGGTTCTGAAACCGAAATCCGCAGCTCGTCAGGCTTCGGTTCAGTTCACTGTGCAGGTGATGTGAACCGTGGCATTTTCTGTCTTTCTGAGAGAGCGCACCACAGGCAGTTCACGGGGAGAATGGTCTCTTCCTGTTTCCCACGTTCTACCAAAAACATGACTGCAAAACACCAGAGGGCGCTGCAAACAGGTTTTGGGCAGCAGGATGCTAACATTACTGCTACTGAGTGCTGATTGGTTGGCGAGCGGAGCAGCTCATTGGCTGTTTGCGCTCACAGACGTCATGAATGTACATGAGGCGCCATTTTAAACTACAACTCGAGTTTAAAAGCTCTTAAAATATAACAGCAGTGTTAAAATGTTTATGCTGTTCAGGAAATGAATGAATTCTTTTACATTTAAAATGTTTCAACATTTATAAACTGATTTTGCTGAAATGCTCCATCTTAACCGATTCATTCTGGACTCGCTCGGGAGCGCCCCCTAGCGGTTGAGAAACCCAGAAGACATTACAGAGTGGAAATTCTCCTCTCTACAAGTTCTCAGAGCACGCTGCTCCCTGCTCGATCAGGGTGCGCAGGCCACCTACAGCTTTGTGTCAGTAGTTTGGGGAAAAGCCTTTCCTGTTCCATAAACACATGGAGTGACCAGTTTGGTGTGGAGGAACTCCAGTGGCCCTCACAGAGCCCTGACCTCAACCCTACTGAACACCTTTGGGATGAACTGGAACGGAGATTGTGAGCCAGGTCCTCTCGTCCAACATCAGTGTCTGACCTCACTAATGCTCTTTTGCCTGAATGGACACAAACTCCAAAAAAACTGTGGAAAGCTTTTCAGTGGAGGCCAATAAGCGGGGGGGGGGCTCCATATTAAAGCCCATGGTTTTGGAATGAGATGTCCAACAAGCTCTTAAAGGCTCATCTTTAATCTAAATGAAGAAATGAACTTCCCCTTTAAAGCCTCACCTTGTTTTTGAGGATGATTTCAGAAGCCTTGAGCAGAGACTGAATACAGGCAGACAGCGCCTCCTGGGAGAGACCCTGAAACACCGCCCTCTGAAACACCACACAGAGAAAACAGCGTCAGACACCTGCTGAGGGCACCAGCACCAGCACCAGCTGATGAAATACATGTTTTAGTTATGCTGCTTTTACATTATGGCTGTAGGCAGCTGTCGGCAAACCTGATATTAGACTGTTTTCAGTGGAGCAGCGTGGGAAATTTCTGTTACTGCAAGCAGCAGTGGCAGTGAACTGTAGCGGTCAGCGGAATGTGGGAGAAATAAACCAAATTTAGTTTTATTGGGAGCCACGGGCGCCTCATAGTTGAAGTAAAAGGTGCAAGCAGTATTTTATAACAATATATTAATATGCACCAAAATTAAAATTTCCCCGTCAGAAACCCAAACTGGAACGAAACGAGATTCTTTTGCTGTTTTTTCCCCTTTTGACGAAACGCACTAAAGATAAAAATAAGATAATACAGAAAATGCGCTTTTATTACTGAGACAATCTGTTTTCATACTGCTAATGAGACAAAACTGAGCCAGCAATAAACAAAAACAGTTTAATAAAATGAATTTACTGAAATGATTACAGTAGCTACAGAATATGCCATGATGTCCAGCATCCTCGACAGCAGAGACTGACTGGTCATCCAGTTCCATTGTTTTTAGTTATTCTTTGCGCTTTGGCTGCTGTTAGTGAATATTTTCATCACTTCATAGACTAAGGACCCGTCCCATTTCACCCCTCGCCCCTACCACTCAGCCCATACCCCTCTGTTTTGCGTGTTCACGTCTAGGGGTAGGGTGTCCCGATTCTTGTTGAGATAGAGGGGGAGGGTGAAGTGTTGGGGCTACATGACCCTCCAAACAGAGGTTTTTCAGAGACTCCAAACAAAGAAAAAAAGAAAAACCGGCAAGATGGAGAACAAGAGACCAAAGAAACCCACAAATGTGAGAATTTTCTGTTAAATAAATTACAATAACCATCATATTATCTTAGTTTAATGTTGTTTCAGTGTATTTTGGTCCTTTTCTTCATAACAAGCATAAAAATCTCTAGTATTGCTGACGTCTCAGTAGCTAAATTTCCCGTTCCACCTTAAATGGAGCAGCAGTTACATTCTGGAACCTCAGGCATCAGAACTGCTGCTCCATTTAAGGTGGAATGGGAAAATTCGAACAAGAAGCTGGTGAATATCTGACTTCAGCTTCATATCACTGAAGAATTAGTGGTGGGTGATAATAAATAATTGCCCCCCTCTTTGAAGGCATATGATGCCCTAAATGTAACTAAAGCCCAGCAGTGAGGAGCTGAACTTTACCCTCCTCTGCTGTCACTGCAGACTGGCAGGGTCGCCTACAGAGCAGCGCTGGTAGCTGTTAATGAAGTGATGCTCTTTTTATTTGAGGGTCCCATTTCAGAGGGAAGATCTCAACCACTACCCTGTAACTCAGTTCCAAGTGACAGAAATAAGAAATGGGACTGGGTCTAAGTGTACAGATGGCGTCTGTGTGCTCACGGTGACTTTCCTTCCTGCTTTGGTTGTTTTCTGTATTCTGTGTAGCGAGTCGTGTTTTCAGAGGAGTAACACACGGCTGACACAGAATGAAGGACACTAACAGCGTTTATTATCACCATTTCTTGTTTTCATTCTCATTAAAATGTTTTTCAGTTTTTGACATAATTTGAAAATGCCTGTTGCTCTTTACATTGTGTGTAAATTTCATGATGAATGGACCAAAAGAAACGGTTTTAAATGACTTGGAAAAAATTCTGGTTCCATTGACTTACATGAAAAGTGAAGTATTTTCCTTCTCCTGTAAAGTTACCATTTTGGAGATACGAGATTTTCTTCTGACAACAGCGAAGTGTTTGATGTCGGCACTTCGTTGTTGCCTGTTTATTTATTTAATAAAATTTTCAAAGCCAACATGTTTGGCCTTTTTTCTCCTGTCTTTCTCCACCTTAAATAAACATTAGACACTGCTAAAGCTCTCCTCTGATCATCATCCACTTTTGCGAGTAAAGCTATTACCATAGCAACATCTCTACAGCTGCCACTGGTCACGAGACGCTGTGAAGCATGGAAGGTTTTTTTTTTTACAACAACACCAAAATGTAAATGCAGCATTAAATTGACAAAAGTTTGAACGTCAACATCTGATCTACACCTTACAGTCAATTAACAGGGATATTAAACAAAATACTATGAATGATTGTGTTATTAAGAAAAGATGACATTCCTATTACAACATAGTGGGGTCAGCGTATATGAACTCACATCTATACAGCGGTACAGTTTGGACAGACAGACCAGCGTGCGTCTGACCGTTGGATACCACATGCCGTGCAGATCAGCCGGAGAAACAGTTGCCGGGCACCCGCGAGCCTTCAACACCACCTAGTGGTCAAATCATAAAAATAATAAGAAGAAGAAGAAGAAAAAAGAAAAAGAAGAAGAAAAACAAGTATTTTATTAGTATTATTATTATTATTATTATTATTTTTAACTTTTATTTCTTTAACTTCTTTGTATTTCTTTTGCTATTATGTGTTCTTAATTATTCTATTTTAGCACTTTTCAATACCTGTATATTGTGTATTGTTATGCTCAGCTGTACTGCAAATGATAAAGTTAAATAAAGTTCACTGATTGACTATGCATCATCTAGCAATGAGTATAATTTTTAATTACCCAATTACATTAAATTAAGCAGTAAAAATAAAAAAATAACTAGCTAAAATTTAGTAATACATAGGAAATAATAATAATAATAATAATAATAATAATAGTTAGAATGTAATATAAATCCTATTTCAAAGCTACACAGCTGTGCGTTTTATTTATTTTCTTATATTTTTTTAAAGCCAGTTTAGACTAAAGCTGGTTTGAGACTGACCCGGACTGATGATCTTTCTGGACTCCGGATCCTCCAGCTGGACATCCGAGAAGGACGAGTCCGGTGACATCAGCTTCATCTGTTCCTCCTTCAGAGACTGAGCGATTTTCTAAAGCACAAACAAACACAGCGCTACTCACTCTCGGCTCAGACTCACACAGCGCTACTCACTCTCGGCTCAGACTCACAGCGCTACTCACTCTCGGCTCAAACTCACACAGCGCTACTCACTCTCGGCTCAGACTCACAGTGCTGCTCACTCTCGGCTCAAACTCACACAGCGCTACTCACTCTCGGCTCAGACTCACACAGCGCTACTCACTCTCGGCTCAGACTCACACAGCGCTACTCACTCTCGGCTCAGACTCACAGTGCTACTCACTCTCGGCTCAAACTCACACAGCGCTACTCACTCTCAGCTCAGACTCACAGTGCTACTCACTCTCGGCTCAGACTCACACAGCGCTACTCACTCTCAGCTCAGACTCACAGCGCTACTCACTCTCAGCTCAGACTCACAGTGCTACTCACTCTCGGCTCAAACTCACACAGCGCTACTCACTCTCAGCTCAGACTCACACAGCGCTACTCACTCTCGGCTCAGACTCACACAGCGCTACTCACTCTCGGCTCAGACTCACACAGCGCTACTCACTCTCAGCTCAGACTCACAGCGCTACTCACTCTCAGCTCAGACTCACAGTGCTACTCACTCTCGGCTCAAACTCACACAGCGCTACTCACTCTCAGCTCAGACTCACACAGCGCTACTCACTCTCGGCTCAGACTCACACAGCGCTACTCACTCTCGGCTCGGCTCAGACTCACAGTGCTACTCACTCTCGGCTCAAACTCACACAGCGCTACTCACTCTCAGCTCAGACTCACACAGCGCTACTCACTCTCAGCTCAGACTCACACAGCGCTACTCACTCTCGGCTCAAACTCACACAGCGCTACTCACTCTCGGCTCAGACTCACACAGCGCTACTCGCTCTCGGCTCAGACTCACACAGCGCTACTCACTCTCAGCTCAGACTCACAGTGCTACTCACTCTCGGCTCAAACTCACACAGCGCTACTCACTCTCGGCTCAGACTCACAGTGCTACTCACTCTCAGCTCAGACTCACACAGCGCTACTCACTCTCGGCTCAGACTCACACAGCGCTACTCACTCTCAGCTCAGACTCACAGTGCTACTCACTCTCGGCTCAAACTCACACAGCGCTACTCACTCTCGGCTCAGACTCACACAGCGCTACTCACTCTCAGCTCAGACTCACAGCGCTACTCACTCTCGGCTCAAACTCACACAGCGCTGCTCACTCTCGGCTCAGACTCACACAGCGCTGCTCACTCTCGGCTCAGACTCACACAGCGCTGCTCACTCTCGGCTCAGACTCACAGCGCTGCTCACTCTCGGCTCAGACTCACAGCGCTGCTCACTCTCGGCTCAGACTCACAGCGCTACTCACTCTCGGCTCAGACTCACACAGCGCTACTCACTCTCGGCTCAGACTCACACAGCGCTACTCACTCTCAGCTCAGACTCACAGCGCTACTCACTCTCGGCTCAAACTCACACAGCGCTGCTCACTCTCGGCTCAGACTCACACAGCGCTGCTCACTCTCGGCTCAGACTCACACAGCGCTGCTCACTCTCGGCTCAAACTCACACAGCGCTGCTCACTCTCGGCTCAGACTCACACAGCGCTGCTCACTCTCGGCTCAGACTCACACAGCGCTGCTCACTCTCGGCTCAGACTCACACAGCGCTGCTCACTCTCGGCTCTGCAGGTGTAACGATACTCTTTTTTTTAGGCTCGATATGATTGTTCCTTTAAAGGTTCTACAGGGCTCTAATTCTATCCTACACCAGCTTGACCACCATGGAGCTCCCTGATGTCCAGCGCTGCTGCTGCTGCTGCACAGACTCGAACTGTTTAATCAGAGATCAGAGCCACTGCTTCACCTGCTTTTCCCCTCCTCTGTATTTAAATATTTTATTTTATTGTTAAAGATTCTCTGTTCATGTTGATCGTGTGTTATTGTCTCCTGTCCGGTGTCGACCAGAGGAGGATGGTTCCCCTTCTGAGTCTTGGTTCCTCTCAGGGTTTCTTTTTCCTGCTCTTAGGGAGTCTTTCATTCCCACTGCCCCCCCTGGTGATGCTAATGGGGGCTCAGATCTGGATTTTGCAACAACGTCTGTTTTAAAAAGCACTAAATTAAATAAACTTTGACCACACAGGTCGATTTAGCTCAGACTAATAAAGGTTCTCCAACAGAACTTTTTCAGCAGCTGTTCTGCAGCAGGTTCTAACCTCCATCATGTGCTGTTCAGAAAGGTTCTAACCTCCGTCTGTAGTTCAAAGAAGTTCTAACCTCCATCATCTACAATTTAGAAAGGTTCTAACTGCCATCTACAGTTTAGAAAGGTTCTAACCTCAATCATCTGCAGTTTAGAAAGGTTCTAACCTCCATCATCTGCAGTTTAGAAAGGTTCTAACCTCCATCATCTGCAGTTTAGAAAGGTTCTAAGCTCCATCATCTAGTTCAGAAAGGTTCTAACCACCATCATCTACAGTTCAGAAAGGTTCTAACCTCCATCATCTTCAGTTTAGAAAGGTTCTAAGCTCTGCAATCTGCAGTTTAGAAAGGTTCCAACCTCCATTATCTGCAGTTCAGGAAGGTTCTAACCTCCTGCAGTTCAGAAAGGTTCTAACCTCCATCATCTGCAGTTTCTCAGGGTAGGCCAGGTCTCCTGGCGCAGGGCTGTAGCCGATGATGTCGGTCTGGATGTAGATGTGGGTTCTGTACACCAGGCGCTCCTGAACATCCTCCAGCATCTGCTTCACCACAGCTTCAAACGCCCCCAACTGGACCGCTGAGGGACAAACACACACGTTCTCTCTCAGGATGGTAAAACAGGAGAACGTCTGATGGGTTAGAGGAGCAGAAGCTCATATCCAACAGTTTATTAATCACAGTAACAGAACTTCCTTCAGATCGTCTAGAACGCTACCATGTTTGACTACAGAACTGTTGGACTGCTGGAGTCGGGGTACTTTATTTAACCCAACGTTCTCCGTGATTTAGTCCGATTCCTATGCTACCCAGTGGGGATTCTAACGGTTCTAAAAGTTTTTATTTAGTTTCAGTTTTAGTTTTTAGCATCATGATAAACACTGTGAGAGCAAGTATTCGATAAGGGTACGCTTCAAAAAGTGATGGTTCTTCAAGGGTTCTTTAGTAAAGAAAGTGGTTCTTTACAGAACCATGAACACTCAAAGAACCCTTGGCATGATTAAAGGGTTGTTCGCATCATGAAATGGTGCTTCAGATTGATGGAGAATGTGTTGTAGATGGTTCTATATAGAGTTTTTTTGAAAATGGTTCTGTATAGCACCAAAAAGTGATCTTCTATTGTTATGATGTCAAGCTTTAACAATAAATGAACCCTTTTTGGTGCTATACAGAACCACCTACAGTACATTTTTGAGGCAGATGACGTGTATCTCAGCCCCTCTTCACAGGCTCATAACTCCGGATGTGAGTCTCGTATGATCTCGAGATAAGATGGAATGGAAAGGGTAACTTTACAGATTCAGGAAGTGTTTGAACTGGATTTCTGAGCTGGATTAGTGCAAATTTATTGAGGGAAACACCAGGAAACATTCGTCAACACCAGAGGGTTAATGACCGCGTCCACTCGAGCCGCATGAACTCCACGAGTTTGTGCAAAAGCCTTTGAGGAGCAGATCAAATCCGCAAGACGTTTTTTGTACAAAGGCATTTGATGTCACAAATCTGCTTACATTTTAAATAAAGGAAACATTGACTACATTAATGTTTAAACAAATTTTTTAAAAATTCAAAAATTCGTTGTTGTTTATTTCCAAGTTTATATAAAGAAAAAATCCATATTTTCAAATGTGACTCAACTTTATATTTGCCTTTAAAACTCCTTGTGCTGTTTTCAGATGAATGACTTCTATGATTGTTTTAGCACAGACTAAAGTGATTCCACATGGCAGACACTTCAGTCACCAGTTCATTGTTAGTGAGCTGTTTTATCTCCAGCTAACATGGCTAATCTGGTGCTTTGGTTCTAGTTATTTTCATCTCCATCGATTTATCACTCTGTAGACGTTTAAACCCTTCATTTAGTCTGGACTCCCACATCGTTGTGTGTTTGGCTCTCCAACAGTTCCGGACTCATCCTCGAATTCCAAACTTGGGAACTATGACACAGATAAAGTGACTCACCTTTCTGTGGTGCTGAAGTGATATGAACGCCTGTATTTCTGAGGTTAGTAACTGTCCGAAAGGCAACAGCGGAACTTGTTTAACCAGCGTTTACACACTTCTGTTCTTGTGAAAAAAGGTCTATTGGTGCTGACCATCTTGACCATCTTAATGAGTCTGTATTTGTTTTACTGCCGACTGTGGGCCGACACAGTCGTGCTCACCGACTCACCGTTGTTGTGGACGTGATCCTCCAGCATTTCGTTCTTGAGGATGCCACAGAGCTCGGACAGCGTCTCCAGGTGAACCACGTGGATGATGAGCGGACGCAGCACGTCGTAAAGAGACAAGCACAACTTCTCCAGCAGCTCACTGAGGGCAGAAACAACACAGGCCTTCAGAAACCTGTTCATTCTGCATGGGCACCATCTACAAATGACCCAGCAGGGGGAGCTATTCTGGTACTCAGTCCAGTAGTCAGTACTCACTCCAGCTTGGCCGTAGGTTTGGAGAAGAACTCGCCGAAGAGCTGGTGCTCATCCTGACACACGTGAGCCATGAAGGCACAGCCGCTGCGCACCTGAGAGAACACAAACCAGCAGATTTAACAGGAAACACAAGATCTATTATTAATCACCACATAAGAACAACACAGCGATCTGTTATTGGATCAATGACTAATACAGTCTTTAAAGTGAAAATATAAAACACATCTTATTAAAAAGGACATGATGGACATTTTTGTATGTTGTGTGTTCTGCAAGAATCAATTTAATGTGGTTGTATTTGTTTTAAAATAAATTTTCTTTTTTGACACTTAAGTGTTCATTGGGATTTTTCCAGGTATGCATAAATATAAACAATAAAGAATGTCACAGTCAGAAAAACATAAAAAAGGGGAGGAGGGGAAGGAAAAGAGGCTGTGGTTACAACACTGTTTATCAAATGAGTATTTATAGGTGTGGTATCTGTGCATTTATGTTAATTTATGCCTAAGTGTTTCTATGGTGTCATATGTCGTCCATTTCTGCCACCTGTTAACAAACCCACTCCAAGTCGGTAAGTCATTTTTTTCCTAGTACACAAATTTTTCTTACATATATATATATATATATATATATATGTATCTTGTGTTAAATATTTATTTACTTACGTTATGACTACTGCAAATATGTATAAACTAGTCTTTGTACATGGACACACGTATAAAACGTTGTCCTTGAACTGAAGATTATACTTTTTAAAAAATATATAAACATTATTACAATATTAATACATGTTCATGGTTTTTCTATTGTTGCATGACCTGACCTGGTGGACTCGGTACCACGACTCAAAAATGACCATCTTTTCAATACTCGTGAAAGAGCTACTGACCTCAGCATTAAGGTCACTTGGGGTCTTCTTTATGATGCAATACGCTGCCCACATAGGCACTTTAGAATAAAAGTCCTTTGACTTTTTGGTTGTGCCGTGTGACATTTGAGGAAATCAGTTTTACAATTAGTTGAATACTTTTAAAGCTGTTCTATTTTGAAACCTATAGATTTGAAAATAATAAAAAACATACTCAATTATTTTATGCAGAATTTTATACGACTTGACTATACTTTTTTTAATAGTTTACTTTATCCATATATCGTTGGACGGTCACACCATCTCACGTTTTCAGACTTTGGGAGGTACAAATGCCTAAAATTACTTTTATTTTAAAACAGTGACCATGTATTTACATGAAGATGGCATTGTAGAATAACGTGATTTGTCATTACATATTGAACTATTTAATAGTAAAATAATGGACATGGATGTCGTCATTGACCCTCTTATGATTTCTGCTATCATTACTATGATCTCAAACACCAGTTTACAGCAAAACAGGAGCTGAAACTGCAGCAGCTGTTCATATTAACGCTTTAATAATGCATCATAAAAGCAAATGTAAATCAGTGAATGTAAACGTAAAACTGTCTGACTGTATTCGCCCCTCGATCTTCAGAGCATCTCTCACTGACCGTCTTTTAGTGAATTACTATTATATACACCAATCAAGCATAACATTATCCTCCTAGTGAGGTTAGAGTAGTGAGGTGGGGTATAAAGGCCTGACCAGAGCGCAGTGGTCTTTGTTGCTTTGGCTGGTCAAGTCGGTGATGGTGGAGTTGATGCTGGGGCTCAGCAGCGCCTCCCTCTGGTCCAGGTAACATTGGTGGATATCGTCCAGCAGCTGCTGATACCTGAGAGACAGATAAACAAATAAAACATAAAACACAATATAACCTCACAGAGAATTTATACATGAACTGGTTATGAATTCACTGCCTGATGACTGAGACACTGTTTTATGATAGTTTAGAGAACTTAAACTCCATTCATGGTGGAGGGATACATGCAGGGCGCTGTGAGGCAAAATAGTCCCCAAAGAAAACTTATTATTTCAGATTTTCCACTATTTTCCATCATCAACATTCCATATAAACTCAGAAGACTCGTGTAGGTTCACTGGTGGTTCTGGATAGTAAATAAAATGTCTATATTTGTGTTGTAGTCATGGCGACCCCTGGTTCCTATCAGCACCACTGTAAAGACATCTGAACCATTTCACACCAAACCACTCTGAATCTCTCTGTTTACATCTCACACACTGAGTTATGGGGAATTTTGAATGAACCACTCACTCTGGCATCTTCTCTGAGCGCTGTTCGACCTGCTCAATGAGCGCCTGCAACAGAAAACACAGACTTAATTGTGCAATAATCAAAACACAATTTAAAAAGAGTTTCACCAACTTCAGTGACTTCAGAGGTTTTGCCTTCAAAAGACTCAACATATTGACTTATTTACTAACAGGAGAGGATTGGTGAAGATTAAGGCTTTCACTGGCTTTAATCAAGGTGTTTAAAAACTGGTACTTTGTGATGGGGGTGGTGTTTATCTAGCCAAGCTGAGTGTGTTTTATTTGTGATGCAGAACGTAGATTTTAACAAAATACAATAGTTTAAAAATGTAATTGTATAAATTTCAGGACTTATAGGTGAGTTAGGTTAGGTAGAGTTAGCATTGGTATCGGCCGATACTAAAGGATCAGGTATCAGTATCGGTGCATCTCCACTCTTTATAATACCTCCATTAGGTTTGTAGACTGGAGCTCAGGAGATGAAGCTGGTTGGAAACCAGCCTGTGCTTAATAACAGGGAACCTAAAGACATGAAGCTGGTGAAACACTCCTTTAAGGTGATGATTTACAGTCCTTACTCTGAGTTTAGGTGCCGCTGCTCTGAACTTCACGTAGTAGAGTGTGAAGGCGTTGTCTGCGTTAGCCACGCCCATCGGGTCCTGCTGAGACCAATTCACACGTTTAGTAAACCTGCTGCAGCTGCGGTCAGTTCACACATTCAGTTATGAGCCACTATGGAAGAGAAATGGCCACACTGACCCTTTTGGTGAGCTGACTGGTGAGGTTGTGTAAGGTGTTGACTGCGTGGGTCCTGATGAGCTGCATGGCTTTGGACAGACACTGCCGGAACTTCGCCAGATAAACGGGGTGATCCTTAAAGTTGGGCTGCGGGAGGAGAGGAAGAGGCATCAGTTCACTTTTCTTCTAATTCTGCACGACTGGGTCTGTCCAGGAGTTTCCAAAGGTGTAAACCTGCATGATTTACCTGTATAAAATACAGTTTTGTGGCACTTTTGGAGGTTTACAGGCAGATAAGGCTGGGATACATACAGTAAATCTAGTTGAACACAGGTTCTCCATAAACTCTGAGCTGAGTTTGGTGGGATGGGGGGGGGGCAGGCATGTATATTTAACTGTGAGAGTCTGTTCAGCTCTTAAATAAAGAAAAATAACATCTGATTTTATATGTAGTAATTAGTATATCACATGTTCTGTTTGAGTATATCTGAGTTTATACAGTTTGGAGGCTGTGAATATGAGTTACTGTCTATAGATGTTCACACTCACAGCTTGTAAGTTGTTTATAAACTCAAAAGATTTGATGTAAAATATCCAGACAAAAGATTTTTTTAATTCTAGGGCCCAGTCAATATGATAATTTGGGTACATAGTGAATTTTAATGGGCTAAAAACTCCAAAAAACAACGGTATACTGTTCAAGTCATTTTATACTCAATATATAACACTCCATTATACTCAGTTTACTGACGGCTAAAGACATGAAAGTCATTTGTCACCTGTGAATTATGAAATACGTTCTCTGCGTCTGTCTGTCCGTTTTTTACAGTCACTTTAATAAAAAAACTCAGATAAACAGCAGAAATAATTTATGGAAATAATCTACATATTGTGTGCGAGACTTTGAACACTGTCAAATTTCATGTATTGCTGATTTTCTAAGGGAAAATAAGCAAACAACCTCTACAGTCTACAAACTTGAATACAGCATTTTTCTGCTTATTTTAGTGTTTCTATTTATTTGCTGAATTTAACATATTAAACATATATGTTACATTCAGCAAATAAACAGTAATTGTGCATTAAAAGGTGCAGAAGTGTCTCCTTATTTTCACTTCATCAATAAAATGTCAATCGACTGGGGGTGCACAAACTTTTGCCTAAAAACATAAGAACTGTTTGAGGTTATGTTTTCTGTTAATTTTGTCTTATGTTTCTTCAATTGTTGTCATAGAAACAGGTTTATTTTGTGTTAAATGCTATTTGATGTTAATGGTCAGGTGTGATACATTTTACGCATTTTTATGTTCAGACTCACCAGATCAGGATGGACAGCTGTCATATAGTTTTTCCAATAGCGATAAAACTGTGGGTTCTCGATGTCAGCCAACATTACTGGCCAACTAAGATCACTACAGCTCTACTTTCCTCAACACCATCTGAGTAAACACTACTGAGCAACACGGTGTTCGAGCAAACAGGCCAAAAGGACGCTGGACTCACGTGTGAGGAGACGTACTCGATACAGTCGTCTAGTTTGGACAGCATCGGAATGAAGCCCTCGCTGTTCACCGATAACGTCGGCGAATTCAGCTTCTGAGCAGAAAACAGACACAGAGACACGGTTAGCGAACAAAAAGAAGCCAAACGTCTGAAGGTGCAGCTTAAATAATAAACCGTACCGTGTTTATGGTTTCCAGTTCGTTGAAATATGAGAGTTTCTGCTGGATGCTCTCAGCCAGGTCCACCAGTTCAGACTGCAGCAGAGGAACATTAGACAGAAATTAGCTTCAAAACTCAGTCGTAACACAGAAAATAAACGCTTAGCTGCTTATGTGCAAAATAACCTTAAATGAAATAAAAGAAACACAGTAGTATGCAAAAGTTTTGGTACCCCCGGTCAAATTGAACCTTTTGTTGATTTTCTAAGTGAAAGTAAGTCACACATCATCTTCAGGGAACAAACAGAATGTATAATTTTCTATTTAATTGCTGAGCTTCACATTTTGGGAAAACAAGAAAACATAAAAGGTATGGTACCTTTTGCAAACATTTCACGTTTTATTTATTAGTGTGTTACATTTGTTAAATTATGTGTTAAATTAAGCAAATAAACCATAACTGTGCATTAAAACATGCATCTCTGTAGACGTATTAGATTATTTTCACTTAGAAAAACAACACAAGTAATACAACTGGGGGCGCCAAAACTTCTGTACACAACAATTATTAGTAAGTTATAATTTATATAAGTCAATAAAACTTAAGTAAAAGATGATAACAGCCATACAACTCCTACCATACTACATAATAATGATAATAATAATAATAATAATGATAATAATAATAACGTCACATTATTATTTTAGTTTACTGTTTAAAAATGTAGCATAAACATTTTCAATAATATTAAAGCAATATTAATAAATGTATAAAATCATTCTAATATACTAGTCAAACATAATTACAAATGATTAGCAGGAAACCATAAAATGAAATAAAATAAATGAAAAAAAAAATGAATAGCGCTGTAGATGATTATACAACGACTGTACGTATATATACATATATATATATATATATCTGTGTGTGTGTGTGTGTGTGTGTGTGTGTGTGTGTGTGTGTCCAATACTACATTAGTGTTTTATTTATCTTCAAAACATTTTTCTTGCTAAATTTATGAAATGTTAAATAAAACAGAAAATAAAAATAAAACAAATGAAAAATACCTCTTGTTGTCTAGTTTGAAGTATTTAAATTTGCTTTTTTTCTTTATAAAATAACAAAAATGCTGACCTGCTCCTTCAGCAGCTGCTCACAGGCCTCGTGGAGAGTCCCGGTTTTGGTGGAGACGAACAGGTACTGTTTCTGCAGAGAGTCCAGATGTTCCAGCGCCGCAGAGACGTCCGTCAGGATGGAGTCACACTGATCCTGATAACAGCTCAGACACTCACGGGTTCTCCTGAAAGATGGAGAAATATGGAGAACTTTACAGTCAGGAATGAAGAGACCTGCACAGACGAGCTGATGTGCTCTGATTGCAGACCGTCTGCTGGTTTCGATCTCAGTCTGACCGCGTTAGAGACACGGTCATTACAGCGAAACGTTTAACACAGACCTGTACTTGGCTCCTTCGTCCTGGTCCATCTGGGCCTGCAGTTTGGAGAACCAGGAGAAAAACTGCAGCAGAAAAAGAGCAGCGGTCAGCAAAGAACCGACACACGACACCAGGTGAAACAAACCCCGCTGCGCAGTGAGCTCGTACCTGCTGAGCCGTCTCGATCCGCTGGTCCTCCATGCCCAGCATCTGGAAGCCCTTCAGCAGGACGTCCTCAGTGGAGGCAGGAACGGCCGCCGGGAACAAGGAGTGCGAGGACAGCGAGCACAGGTCCTCTATGGGGAGCTGGAGAGGAAGCAGGAAAACAGAGCCATCAGTTCTGCTGTGGGATGATCACGACTTCAGAATCGTCTAGAAAAACAGCAAAAACTACAAAAGTGCATTTCCTGAAGAAAATAGGCTTCCCTGGTATCGGTAGTGTTGCTAAGTGGTCGCTATGGTGTTCCATGTGGTTGCTAGGGTGTTGTTAGGTGACTGCTATGGTATGGTATGGTATCTCTGGTGGTAGGCAAAGGTTTACTAGGGGAATGATATGCGGTTACTGTTGTATTCCCCACGGTTGCTAGGGTGTTGCTAGGTGGTTGCTATGGTGTTCCAGGTGGTTGCTAGGGTGTTGCTAGGTGATTGCCATGGTATCTCTGGAGCTAGCTAAGGGTTTGCTAGGAGAATGGAATGTGGTTACTGTGGTATCCCCCATGGTCGCTAGGGTGTTGCTAGGTGGTCACTATGGAGTTCCAGGTGGTTGCTAAGGTGTCGTTAGGCGACTGCTATGGTATCTCTGGTGGTAGCCAAGGGTTTGCTAGAGGAATGAAATGTGGTTTCTGCGGTATCCCCCATGGTTGCTAGGGCATTTTTAGGTGGTCACTATGGTGTTCCAGGTGGTTCCTAGAGTGATGCTTGGTGGTTACTGTGTTATCCAAGGTAGTTACTAGGATGTTACTAACCAGCTGCTGGTCATTGCTATGGTGTTGTTAAATGGTTGCTATAGTACTGCTAGTGTACTTGTATCATTGTAACATAAGAGGAGTGAACAAACTTTTGACTGATATTTATTACTATGGAAAAAAATCCAAATTTGAACGGTTGCTATGGGGAAATCAGCCATCCAATCAAAAAGCAGTATATAAGCACCTTCTCAGTCACACAGAACATTTCTGGGTCAGTGTCGATATCTCAAACACGCTGGATGAGTTAGCAGATAAAAAGCTGGCAGAAAAACATTTACTGTATGTTTACTGTCCTCCGTGGAAACCACTGTCAGTGATTTAAACTATCTGGGTGGGGGGGCGGGGGGCTTACGCTATGGACACACCCACATTTAAATGACTGGTGTTTTTTTTCTGATTATAAATTCTAGGGGTCGGATTTTTGGGGATTATTCTGTCAGAGGGTGGCAGAGCAGGAGCAGAAAACATTCTACTGGAGGACTTTTATTTACTGAACCAACCTGTGCAGCATTAGGAGGAAGAAGCGTACTGTCCTCTAAAATAAAAGCCTCTTTAGTCAGTCAACAATTCTGGCTAGAAGCGTTCTGCTTGTATTTATATGGGAAAGACTTCGTTAAAATAAAATTAAACAGCATGTCGATCCATTTCTGCAGTAACTGGGATCTGGTAGCTAAATGCGGAGGAAGAGGCTCTATTTACACATAAAAGTCCCTGTTACTGTACTACAGTAATCGGCCGCTGACAGTCACTTGCTTTTAGTTAACTGGACAACAGATTTGATGAGATGTGGGGCTTTTATCATTAAATCGGCGGCCTAAACAAAATAATGAAGCTGAAGTTAATCCAACTTCCTACTGGAATTCTCCGTTCCACCTTAAATGGTGTGGCAGTGACGTCCTGGCGCCTGTAGCTGCTGCACTATTTAAGGTGGAACGGGGAATTCCAATAAGAAGTGAACTCCAGGCTGGTAGCCAGCAGGTACTGAGGTGTGTAAGGTAATCCGTGTGTATGCTGGGTTAGTCTCGCCTCTGCTGGGAGCTCCAGGGTCTCGGCGGCGGCGCGGATCTCCTCCACAGACTCGCTCTGTCTCTCGGTCAGTGAGGTCCAGCCGCTCCGCTCCTGCCTCTCCTCCGCCCGCTCCTCTCTCTCTCTGTCCTCTCCTCTCTCCGCTCTCTCCGGCCTCCCTCTCTCCTCCTGTTTCTCCTCTCTGTCTCTCTCTGCCTTCATTTTCATCATCGTCTTCAGACACTGCGGACCGACGTCATCACAACACACGGCGTTCCGGTTTGAGACGGAAGTACCGCGCACACGTCACGGCCGCCTTTGTGCGTCGCCGCTCATGATTGGACAGTAAGATTCATTCTCTCTCTCTCTCTCTCTCTCTCTCTCTCTCTCTCTCTCTCTCTCTTTACTTTGTTAGCCCCCTTTTACCCTGTTCTTCAGTGGTCAGGACCCCCATGGACCCTCACAGTGCAGGTACTATTTGGGTGGTGGATCATTCTCAGCACTGCAGTAACACTGACGTGTTGTGCTGGTATGAGTGGATCAGACACAGCAGTGCTGCTGGAGTTTTTAAACACTGTGTCCACTCACTGTCCACTCTATTAGACACTCCTACCTTGTCAGTCCACCTTGTAGATGTAAAGTCAGAGACGATAGCTCATCTGCTGCTGCACAGTTTGTGTTGGTCATCCTCTGGTCCTTCATCAGTGGTCACAGGACGCTGCCCACAGGACGCTGTTGGCTGGATATTTTTGGTTGGTGGACTATTCTCAGTCCAGCAGCGACACTGAGGTGTTTAAAAACTCCAGCAGCGCTGCTGTGTCTGATCCACTCAGACCAGCACAACACACACTAACACACCACCACCACGTCAAATAGTACCTGCTCTGTGAGGGTCCATGGGGGTCCTGACCACTGAAGAACAGGGTAAAAGGGGGCTAACAAAGTATCAGAGAAACAGATGGACTACAGTCTGTAACTGTAGAACTACAAAGTGCACCTATATAGTAAGTGGAGCTGATAAAATGGACAATGAGCGCAGAAACAAGGAGGTGGTCAGAATGTTATGCCTGATCGGTGTGTGTATTCTATGTATATTTTCAGTTATTAAATGTTATAGATAGATAGATCGACAGATACATACATAGATACTTTATTGATCCCGAGGGAAATTTAGCAAATACAAGTGCATAAAAAAGAATAAAAAATAAAATAAAGCTATAAATCAACAACAACAATAATAATGATAATATCCACTCATAATCTATTGCTGTATGTGATTGTGCTACAAGCAGGCAAAATAAACTACAACATAATCAGAATGTTATACAATTTCATAAAAAAATAAGTCACATATATAAAAAAGTCATTTAATTCTTGTAATTGGATTTTAGGTGAAATAAGTAATAAATATTATGCTAGATGTGTGATAGGAAAAAAAAATGTCACAAACTCTGAATGTCTCACTAATGACTGGCTACCAGTAAATAAAGCACCAAATAAAATAAATTAACATAAAATAAAATAATAATTGGTTTTGATTGTCTTATTGTCGTATATAAAAATCTGATGTTATTAGCAAAATAATAAAAAATATTCAATAATAATAATAATAGTAGTAACAGTAATAATAATAGACTGTATTAATTTCAGTTTCTGTTATATGCTTTAGAAAAATTGTTTAAGACTTTAATTTCATTGACTTTTATTTTGTTTTGTCCTGTATCTGCTATCCTGTATGTTTCAGCATGTTCTATATTTATCGTCCTGCATGTGTTCCATCATGTTCTAGATCTACCATCATGTGTGTTCCACCATGTTCTATACCTACCACCCTTTATGCGTTCCACACTGTTTGATGTTTAGCATCCTATATGCATTCCACATTGTTCTACACCTACTATCCTGTACTTGTACCACTATATTCTACACTTATCATCCAGTGTGTTCCAACATGTTCTAGATCTACCATCCTGTACGCTTTCCATTACATTCCATATCTGCCATGCTATACATATCCCACCATGTTCTAGATATGCCTTTCTTCCATGTGTCTTCCTCTTCTCTCAGGGAGTGTCATCTTTTGAGTCTTGGTTCCTCTCTAAGATTCTTCCTCATGGTGTTAGAGAGGTTCCCCTTTTGAGTGTTGGTTCTTCTCAGTGGTTCTTCCTCCCATACCTGCATTTCTGGACAGGCTGTTTTGGTACAATTGCTGGAGGAGAAAATGCTGAACAAATAAAACTAAATGTTAGCTTTTTGTAACCTAGCAGGACAGTCAGTGTACATAACATGAGATTTGGGTCATTCTACAGAAACGTCCACTTCTCTATCTGTCCATAGGAGTCACTGGTGTTACTGATCCTCATTGGTGTTCCACATAATAAAGGAACACCAGAGACATTTTAATGAAAAATGTATTTCACAAAATAACTGCTACAGAGCATCAAACCACATGTTGTCAATCATGGAATATCCACTAAAATATGGAATTTAATCCATTTGTATTCTATTATTTCACAGTTACCTCAGAATAAAGTCGGTCACACCAGTGACTTCAGCTAAAAGCTTCATATGAAATCATGAGCTAAATGAGAAAATCTCTGATAACTGAAAGACACAGTGGACTCACCATGAGCTTTTCTTCATAGATCCTCAGAAAACAGGTAAAAGGAAGTCGAGTGATGTCATCAGTGTGACTTTTATATAAGAGATTTTTTTGTTATGTAACACCAGTTACACGACTCCTGGTGAACTTTCATTATATATTTTATAATATTTATTTGGTATTTGTTTTCTTTGTGTCATTTAATTTATATATTCCATAGTCATGTATAGATTATTGTAGTTAAAATTGCAGAAAAATGTGTTTTTTACTTTAAAATATGGCCTCAGCCTTCACACATGACTGTGAGGACGAGCTCTTCTGTGGTGCTTGAAGTTCTAGATAATTGATTTAAAAACCAATATTGCTAAATTGATGACAGAAGAAGGTGTAATTGTTAAAATTACTTACTGTTTTATTTTAAAATATAAATAAATTGTAACACTAACATGGTTTTCAAGTGTAATATATCTGTAAACACTAGGGACACAAAAATGAACGTTTCTATAGAATGACCCAATTCTGAACCCGAGAAGTGTAAATTGTGATGAATTTACTCCACACTCAAATTTTAAACAATATTTATTAAATGCTTTTACGTTTCACAAAGAACCAAACCAGAGCAGAGTGCAATATGACGGCTGAATTTAAGGGAAAATGAGAAATACTAAACACAGTGGATGGAATAACAGACGTTATGACTTTTTAACATACAGTACTGTACAAAAGTCAGAGACCCTTCATTAATTTAATTTCCAGTTCAAAAGGCCATTCAGTACAAGTTATTCATTTTCAGGAGATCTTTCTGACCACCCCAGAGTCCAGACCTCAACACCACTGAATGTGTTTGATTACTTCAGAAAATGATCAACCAGCTTCTAAGACTGAACTTTGGAGGTGTGTCTGCAGATTCTTTGAGGAACTGAAGGTGAGTCTCCTGAAAAGAATCGCAGCTGTAACAAAGGTAAAGAGTGACTCACTGACTCACACAGAAGGGTCTGGATTCAGGAAAGATTCATAAGAAAAAAAACTTCCGAAGGTTTGAAAAAACCATAAGAAGTTCTCAAATATTCTCTTAAGAAAATCTTAATTATATATAAACAAGATTTTCTTAAGATTTTATTGTTTTCATGTCAGCAGTTTTGCATTTTACCACAAACCAGAAACAACATAAGATGCATTTTGAATTTTAAAAAAGTTATTTTCATTATTTAGTTTAATCCACTCAGAGGAGCAAAATGGGGGAAAAACATCAAACCAAGTGTTTAAAACTTTTAGCAAACAAGATCTCGAGGTGATGGAGGAAGAAACAGCTGACAGGAAAAATCCTCTTTAGAAAATATGATAACAGTGGGGTGATGGACGAGGATGAGCAGCAGAGGCAGCGTCTGGGCTGAATTTAGATGTTGTAAGGTTAAGAAAACATTTAAGAACGTAATCTTTTCACGAACACTTGTTCTTGGAATTATTCTTAAGAAAGTAGTTAGAAAAAAGAATAAGGCCATTCTTAAGAAGTTAATAATAATAATAATAATAATAATAATAGGATTTGAAGTTATTTGAAGAATAACAATTTCTTTTATTTTTTTTTCTTAAGAATAAAGTTAAGGAAAAACACATTTAAGATGATTTTATGAATTTGGCCCCTCATGTTTAGTTTTTTTCTGTGTGTTTCTGAAAAACTGAAAATGAATAATTTGTACTTAACGGCTGTTTTGACTGGAAATAAGCGAAGGGTGTGATTTCTGTACAGTACTGTGTTTCTCTGACAGTCAGAAAAGGAGCAGATAGTTACAGGTAAAGTGCTGCAGGGCTTGGACAGAATCTGCCACACAACATACATCACAACAGACGCGACTGTAAATCTGAATTAAAAGGTGCATCTACATTGCGCTTCTCTGCTTCCAGCAAACAGCAACGTTTGTGTTCCTGAGTTCCTGATGACCGAAACACAGATGGACTGGACCTGGTGCCATTTCTTGTGATCCTGTGAAATGTGTCATGCTGATAAAGTACCCATACTTAGCCATGTGCTCTCCCTGCTGAAAAGGGACCATTAGAAACCTTTAAGATTAAAACAAATGTTTTTTCTTTCTAATGGGAATTGGCTTAATGGTTTCTAATAGAGACAACTAGTTTCCTGTAGAACACCTTGGATTTAGAATCAGCCACTGGTCACCTGTTAAACCATTAGAGTCCTTTACACTGTGATATCAACCCATTAAAAAAAACAAAACACATTACAAAACCATCAGGAACCAACAGAAACACATAATGGTTTATATGTTTTTCAGCAGGGATTCAGTTCACAGCGGAAATGGTGTGAAAACCAGTTTGTATCAGCTGTGCCACCTGCTCTTAAACAAAGAATGGAAATATCAGTAAGCATGTCCACTCAGGGGCCGGATTCACGCAAATGTTCCTGAGAAAAAACTTGTGAAGGTTCTTCAGAGAAACACTAAGAATGTTCTTAAATGCAGTTCACAAAAAACTTCTCAAATATTCTCTTAAGACAATCTTAATTACAACCACATTTGCAAAAAGGTTGGGACGCTGTGCAAAATGTAAATAAAAACCAAATGCAATGATGTGGAAATCATTTAAACCCTAAATTTAACTGAAAATAGTACAAAGACAACAAATCAAATACTAAAACTGAAAAATTGTATTGTTTTTTGAAAAATATTTGCCCATTTTGAATTTGATGCCAACAACACGTTCCAAAAAAGTTGGGACGGGGGCCTGTTTACCACTGAGTTTATCACCTCTTCTTTCAACAACACTCTGTAAGGGTTTGGGAACTGAGGAGACACTGCTGTAGTTCTGAAAGTGAAATGTTTTCTGTTCTTGTTTGATACAGGATTTTAGCTGCTCATCAGTTCAGGGTCTCCTTTGTCATATTTTTAATTTCATAATGCACCAAATGTTATCAGTGGTGACAGGTCTGGACTGCAGACAGGTCGGTTTCGCACCTGGACTCTTTTAATACGGAGCAATGCTGCTGTAATACATGCAGAATGTGGTTAGACATTGTCCTGCTGAAATAATCAAGGCCTTCCCTGAAAAAGACGTTGTCTTGATGGCAGCATATGTTGCCAAAACATGTATATATCGTTCAGCATTAATGGTGCCTTCACAGATGTGCATGTCACCCATGCCATGTGCACTAATGCCCCCTATACCATCATGAATACTGGCTTTTGAACTGTGCACTGATAACAAGCTGAGTGGTCTTTAGCCCAGAGGACACAGTGTCCATGATTTCCAAAAAGAATTTCAAATGTTGATTCGTCAGACCACAGGACACTTTTCCACTTCAGCTCAGTCCATTTTAAATGAGCTCCGGCCCAAAGAAGGCGGCAGCATTTCTGGATCCTGTTTATATTTGGTTTCTTCTTTGTGTTTTAGAGTTTTAACTGTCATTTGTGGATGCAGTGATGAACTGTTTTCACAGACAGTGTCTGTTTATAATGCAGTGCTGCCTGAGGGCCCAAAGATCACGACCAACAAATACTGGTTTTTGGCCTCGTCCCTTACATACAGAGATTTCTCCAGATCCTCTGAATCTTTTAATGATATTATGTACTGTAGATGATGAAAAGAAAGTTCTTTGCTATTTTATGTTTAGAAACGTTATTCTTGAATTGTTGCACTATTTGATGGTGCAGTCTTTCACAGAGTGGTGAACCCCTCCTCATCTTTACTTCTGAAAGACTTCGCCTCTCTGAGATGCTCTTTTATACCCAATCATGCTACTGACAATTGCCAATTGCCTATTAACCACCAGGTGTTTTGTAGCATTACACAACTTTGCCACCCTTCTGTTGCCCCCGTCCCAACCTTTTTGGAAATGCACTTGATTTTCTTAATAAAATCTTCATTGTTTTCTTATGTTGGCCACGTTGCATTTTACCATGTGCCAAAAACAAGATACGTTTTGAATTTGTATTAACGCTAATTTCTGTTATTTAGTTTAATCAACTCAGAGGAGCAAAATGGAGGAAAAACGTCAAACCAAGCATTTAAAAAATTTAGTAAACAAGAACTAGAGGTAATGGTGGAAGAAACAGCCAAAAGGACATTAGAAAATACAGTAATTGTGGGGTGATGGCGGAAAACAAGAGACGAGGACGGGCAGGAATCGATAAATTCATAAATTCAGACGTTTACCTCGTCAACTCTCTCAGCCTGAGATGAGTGTGAGTCTATCATAAGGTTAAGGAAACACTTAAGAACATAATATTTTCAAACATAACACTCGTTCCCGAAACTATTCTTAAGAAAATAGTTAAGAAAAGAAAATAAGACAATTCTTGAGAAGTTATTTGAAGAATAACATTTTTTTGTAACTTTTTTCATGAGAATGAAGTCAAGAAAAAAACACACATTTAAGAAGATTTTCTTTCTTAGGACACTTTCGTGAATCCGGCCCCAGATTTACTGTCTATAAAGGAAAACAGAAACTAGTGCAAAGTAACTGAAGCATGCTGACCGTGCTGAAATGAACACTGTGAATTGTGTATATTCATCCACAGTGATTTGTTTCCAGTAGTGAATGGAAGTCTGGCAGTGGAGAACCCGAACAGTCTCACAACCAACTAAACGCAGCTGAGGGTCGAGTATCTGCTGTACTGTCTGCACACATCGTCTCCTGGAACGTAGGGCTGAATAAAGTGAGCTAACGTGCAAAGAGAAAGACGACACCATTGGTCAGCATTGACCTTAAATACGTCTCTCAAGAAAAGTCAACGGCTGCGAAACGAGTCCGAGGCTAACCGACGCCCCCTAGGCCCGCGGATCGTTCGTCTCCAAGTGGTCCGGTATGGGCAGACCCGTGAGGACGGTCAAACACTTGTTCCAGACGTTGAACACGGGGCAGACGGGCTGGGAGAAGGCGATGTCGAAGGTGTGGAGGTGCTGCGTTCCCGCCGCGTCGTAAAACGCCAGTGAGCCCAGGTCGTAGTCCAGCAGGACGCCGATGCGCCGCATGTGGGGCGAAGGATCCACGGGCAGCTCCTTCCCGCCGTGCCGCACCGCCCACGAGTTGTTGCAGCGGCACAGCACCCACGAGGACGAGTTCTTCCCAATCCACTCGTGCTTGGGCGCCGACTTGTAGGCGATGCCGATGGCGAACCTGTGGAGGAAGGAGTGATGATGTTATTCTGATCTGTAATGCTAACATGGTCAACAAGGTTATTCCACCTTCCTGCTGAATTTAAACGTCTTGAGCATCTTTATAGGTTCTAGAGCCCTAAAGGAACAGTGTAACATCAAATTTACACAAATGCAGACACGTCTTCAGTGTGAAGTTTCCTTCTATGGTTTCAGCACTGGAGCTATGTGGCTAATGTAGGTAATGCTAGGGGAACTAAAGATGTGGACCTGCTTCAAAAGAGCATTAGTGAGGTCATGCTGGATGACCAGTTCTGGCACTCCAGCCCATCCCAAAGGTATTGGATGGAGCTCCATCACTCCAGAGAACCCAGCTCCACTGCTCCACAGCCCAATGCTGGGGGGCTTTATACCCCTCTAGCCCACCCTTGGCCCTGGACATGGTGACCTTAGGCTCGTGTGCAGCTGCTCCAGAGCATCCCATTCTATTGGTCAGTGCTTTTCTACGGAGATTATACTGGCTGTGTCAGCAATGAGTGATTAAAGTAGCTGAACTCACTCATTAGACTGACTCCACATACTAAAGGTTCTTCAAGGGTTCTTTAGTACAGAAAATGTTTTTATATAGAACCATGAACACTCAAAAGAACGCTTTGCTTGATTAAAGGATTCTTTGCATCATGGAAAGGTTCTTCGGATTGATGGAGAAGGTGCTGTAGATGTTTCTGTATAGAACATTTTTTGAAACCAAAAAGGGTTATTCTATCGTCACAGGCTTGAAATAGTCACAGTAGAAGAACTTTTTTTTGGTGCTATATAGAACCCTTTTAAAAAGGTTCTATATAGAACCATACAAAACACACTCTCTACCAATCTGAAGAACCATTTCACCATGCAAAGAACCCTTAAATCATGCAAAGGATTTTTTGAGTGTTCATGGTGGAGAACATTTCGTGTGCTAGCTATTTCAGGTTAGAAAAATGTTCTATATATAACTATATATAGCACATTCTTCTTTAATCATGCAAAGGGTTCTTTGAGTGTTCATGGTTCTATATAGAACCATTTTCTTTAATAAAGAACCTTGAAGAACCATTATTTTTAAGTGTGCAGTGCTAAAAGTGAAGCAGCAAATTTCAGGCACCAACACACCTGGGTGGACTACATTTTAAAGTGTGTGTGTGTGTGTGTTTGTGTTGGGGGGGCTGGGGGGGGTGGACTGGTTAAACGTGCTTATTTGCCAAATTATCAAAATCCCATTTGACTCCAAAAGAGCTGATGCAACATGTAAGAGACAAAAACCTGCTAAAATAGTGTTTTCCAAGCTTAAAAATATGTTCAGTCACTTCCAGTGACTTTATGAAGAGAAGGTGGCATCATTTAAGCACTCAGTGAAGCCAAATTCAAGTTCATTCAACACTAATGATTTGTCTTTTCCTCCATTTTGACAAGGTCCATACATAACATGACAACTTCACTGAAAATGAACAGCTTTTTATGGATTTGTTGTAAAATCAATTTTGAAATATTCCCTCCGGCTCAAGCTCAGTACGATGAGTTTGGGCTGCTCAGCATTGTTAAATAAGCTTGCTGAGGTGGGAAAATCTGTTTTTTTGTAAGATCAATATTTAATTGAGACAATGGAGGAAAAAAAAAGTCAAATTATGACGTCCATTTGGCGCCGAACTCATGGAATGACCCTGTGATTCAGCCTCACCACGAGCTGCCGCCGATCAGAGTCTCCCAGTAGTGGCGTCCGCTGTCGATGTAGACGTTCCCGGTGACGCCGTAGCTTCCCGTGCTGCCGAAGCGGTCCTGAGAGTGGCTCTTCTTCGAGGACGTCTCGTCCCTCTCCACGGTCAGGTTGTCGTGGGAGACCTTCAGCTTCTTGTGAGCCGACTTTGGGTCCAGCTTAAACGGCTGACCTGCAGATCAACAGCAAACAGGGCCGTGATGTTTATGTGAACGTTACACATTTGGCTGCTAACTGAAATAGCTAGCAAACGAAAGGCTCTCCAGGAACAAACCTTCGCATGATCAAAGGGTTCTTTATTAAAGAAAATGGTTCCATATAGAGCAATGAAAACTCAGAGAACCCTCTGCATGGTGAAATGGTTCTTCAGATTGGTGGAGAGTGTGTTTTGTATGGTTCTATATAGAACCTTTTTGAAAAGGGTTCTATAGAGCACCGAAAAGCGTTCTTCTATCTTTAAAGGCTTGACATCGTAACTATAGAAGAACCCTTTTTGGTGCTCTGTAGAACCCTTTACAATAAGGATTTACATAGAACCATCTACGGCACCTTCTCCATCAATCTGAAGAACCTTTTCACAGTTTAATCATACAAAGGGTTCTTTCAGTGATCATGGCTCTATATAGAACCATTTTCTTTACTAAAGAACCTTAAAGAACCATCAATTTTAAAAGTGTAAAAACTTTTCTGACCCAACCAACTACAGAGACACTGACCCTTAGACGACAGAAGAACAATGACCTGAGGGTCTGAGGTCAAACTCTTGACCTCTTGAACTGGGCATGAGCCACAAAACTCACTGTTGGTCTTCAGCTTGGCCGGCTCGCTGCTGCGGCTGCCAGCGTGGTTCATGGCCTTCACCACGAAGATGTATTTGGTTCCGCTCTGCAGGCCGTGCACCGTGTAGTGGTTCTGCTTGATGTTGGGCACCAGCATCCAGCTGTCGGCCGAGTTACACAAACCTGCAACACAAACGTCACAGTTTACTCAGAGAACTCAAACATCTCAGTCAATCTAGAAGAACAGTGTCCTGAGATCAAGCTGGTTTTCCATCCACCAGTATTTTTGCGAATTCTGAATGGAAAAGCCCCCAAAAAAAAACACCCAAAGTTTTACGCTGGGAAAAGGTGGAAAAGTTAGAATGCCGCTAAAGCTGAAATGAGGAAGTTGGTGAAAAGCGTTTTTAAAATAAACAGTGACATATCAAGCCGGTGACTGGAATCAATTGGGCCTACAGACGGTCCGATTCTGGCGCAGAGCTTCCCAAAAGTTGCTTTCAACATTCTGAGATGCCTGATGCAAAGCTCGTCGGGGTGGGGCGGAGATTTCAGCTCTCATTAGGTGGCCATTGTTATTCTGCGCTGTGTCTCTGAGCCGCAAACAACACAGTCTGAAAAATATAGCAAATGGCTGTAAAGATGATTCTACTTACAGCAAAAACCGAGATAAATCTCACCATGTTGCTCGTTTCGATGCCCCTAAAGCTTCTTTGCATAACTGTAGTGGATGGAAACACAACTTAAAGGAGAACTCCACTGATTTTTCAAAATGTCTGTATAATTAGAGGGCTGAGATGTAAACTGGTGCTGATAGGAACCAGACGTCCACCTCTAAAAGCTCCCTCACAGAAAGTCACTACATGAAATGGTTATGAATTCACTGCCTGGTGACTGAGACTAAGTTTATGATAGCTTTGCGATCAGGTTTTGGCTTAAAGCTCGTTTAATCCATTCATGATGGATGGTGTTGTGAGACAAAAAAAAGGCCTCAAAGAAACCATATTTTTCAGTTTCACAACTATTTTACCATTTTACCATTACTCAGAAGACTCAGAAGACTCTGGATAGTAAATAAAATGTCTATATTTGTGTTGTAGTCATGGCGACCCCTGGTTCCTATCACCACCACTGTAAAGAAACTGGAGTCAAATATGCATATGATTTGCAAAACGTTTGAATGGAAACCCGTCCATAGTCTCACATGATTGTTGTATAATAAGAAAAATGATTCTCTTACTTTTAGATGTGATAATAGCATAACAGGCCTTCGTAAAGGAGCACTCCAGACAAAATCAAAAATCCTTTTAGACCTGTTTTCATGAATATTTCTGCTTTGTTTGTGAACTCTGGATCTTTTTACGTATAATTTTATGAAATTTCCTTTTAAATGTTTTACGGATTTCGTTTTGTTTTAAGAAATTTTGTATCTTGTTAAACAGAATCTTAAGACTCTTCTTCTTAGATGTGTTTCCTGAATTTTGTTTAATTGTTCTGTAAAGCACCTTGAGTTGACGTAATGAAAAGTGTGCTATATAAATAAAATGTATTATTATTATTATTATTATTAATTGATTGCTGAAATCACAGACTTACTCATCAGAAGCTAAATGCTAAGGTTAGCTGGCTATCTAGATATCTTACCTGAGTAAAAACTCATGTCTGGTGTTTATTTTGTGCTGAATAAAGATAGAGTTGCTCTTTTCTTTATGATTTTGTTTAACGGCCGAGGTCAGAGCTTGGTTGTATTTAATTGCCTATAACTCCGCAGTTAGGCTAGCAGTCAGGATTTAGTGACAGCACAGGGATAGCTCCAATAGCTGTGTGACGTATTTGTGTAATGCATGTTGGTTATTATATTAATGTTGATGAACAAAAGCATGAAAAGATACAAAATCGTGAATTATGTCAAACTGATGAGTCTGAGAGATTTAATACTGCAAATAACACAACACACATTTTTTTTGGGCTGGAATGCTCGTTTAAATTCCTCTGTTTGACCACAGAAAGCAAGATCTAGTTTCACTCCGATTTAGTGTGGTGATTTGATTTGTTTGTCACAGATAATGACGTTACATGTGCTCTACATTCCAGTGTAGAGAACCACAAACAGGTCATCTGGAGCCTGTTTTGATTTGTACTGCAGTTCTTTCCCACACGGCTTCCACGCTGCGGTTTGATGGGTTCTTTCGGCACTTACTGACGACGTTGGTCTGCCCAGTGAAGATGGTGTACTGGAGTTCGTAGGAGACGACGCTGAACTCGTCCTCCGCCGTCCAGTGGACCGAGATGGTGTCGTGGGACGCCGTGCAGAGCTCCTCACGGATCGCCGGTGGGTTTGGAGCTACAGAAAAATTAGGAACGTTTAGTCTGTAGGACCCAAATATACAGGAGTGTAACAGTGTTCCTCTAGTTTAACGTTCTTTCTGCTCTTTACATGAGCTGGATATCTTCTTAATCAGTATTGTGACTGATTTAAATTGTGATAATTAACCTTTTCAACTCCTTGAGACCACCGGTGGTTCCAAAACGCACTTTGTCATATTGTTCATAACTTTCATATTTCATAAGCTACATTCTAAAGGTGGGGGTCGTATGAGAGCTGTAACTGTCTTCTTTCCAGTCGAATAGATGGGTGATGTAATTTTAAACCCTTATAATAAAAGAAGCTGAACTCTCTTTTCTACTGAAAGTCGACCCATTTTTCCACAAATCTGGGCTGTAAACTATAAACAGATGGCGTCTCTTCAGTGATCTGCACTGTAAACATTATTTTTATAAAATAATACAAAGAGCGTCTAAGATTTTTGGGTTTCAGCAGTAAATTGTAAGCATAAAGCAATATGTGTATCATAAAACACATGTTCTGTTCATTTGAGGGAAACTTTTACAAAAAATAAAATTTGGGAGTTTTTAAACACCTCAGTGTCACTGCTGGACTGAGAATAGTCCACCAACCAAAAATATCCAGCCAACAGCGTCCTGTGGGCAGCGTCCTGTGACCACTGATGAAGGACTAGAGGATCACCAACACAAACTTTACATCAAACTTTACACAAAGACTTTACATCTACAAGGTGGACCGACAAGGTAGGAGTGTCTAATAGAGTGGACAGTGAGTGGACACAGTGTTTAAAAACTCCAGCAGCACTGCTGTGTCTGATCCACTCAGACCAGCGCAACACACACTAACACACCACCACCACGTCAGTGTTGAAGAATGATCCACCACCCAAATAGTACCTGCTCTGTGAGGGTCCATGGGGGTCCTGACCACTGAAGAACAGGGTAAAAGGGGGCTAACAAAGTATCAGAGAAACAGATGGACTACAGTCTGTAACTGTAGAACTACAAAGTGCACCTATATAGTAAGTGGAGCTGATAAAATGGACAATGAGTGTAGAAACAAGGAGGTGGTCATTATGTTATGCCTGATCAGTGTATGACCATATAACTGCAAAAACAGCCCATTTTGAATTTGCTGTTTTTGTGATGTCATCAATAAACAATGCATTTATATGTGGACACCCCTCCTAATTACTGATCCAGGTATTTCAGGTGTATACAATCAAGCACACAGCCATGCAGTCTCCATAGACACACAGTGGCAGTAGGATGAGTCACGCTGTAGAGCTCAGTGACTGTCATAGGATGCCAGCTTTGCCAAAAGTCAGTGAAGGGTGATGTTGATGCTGCAGCACAAAGACATTTTACACAGTTATCTGCTTCCAGCTTTGTGTCAGCAGTTTGGGGAAGAGCCTTTCCTGTTCCAGCATGACTGAGCCCCTGAGCACAAAGCAGCTCCATAAAGACATGGAGTGACCAGTTTGGTGTGGAGGAACTCCAGTGACCCTCACAGAGCCCTGACCTCAACCCCACTGAACACCTTTGGGATGAACTGGAACGGAGATTGTGAGTCAGACCCTCCCGTCCAACATCAGTGTCTGACCTCAGAAATGCTCTAAGAACTCCCACAGACTCACTCCAACATCTTGTGGAAAGCTTCCCAGAACAGTGGAGGCTGTTACAGCTGCAATGTGGGGGCCTTTAAAATGCAATGGTTTTGGAATGGGACGTCCAAGAACCTCCTGCAGGTGTGATGATCAGGTGTCCACATACTTTTGGCCATTCTTCTGCCCATTCAGCCTATAGCAGTTTCCACTGGTTCATAGCTACGCAGGGCTGCAAAATTACAAAGACGGCAGCTCTGGGGCTCTTTTACTAGAAATTTCAATGAGCAAATAAAAGGCCCTGGGAACTCAGAGATGACCCCAATAATTCATGACAAATCAGTGCTTTCAAAAGAGCAGCCTGGTGACGATGATGGCCTTTTGAAAGCACTGACAACAAGACTGTTCAAACACACATTCTGAGGCAAGAAGCAAAGAGAGCTGGATCTGAGAGACTTCAGTAAGCAGGGCTGGTCCTAATATGACGGCTCTGGATGTGGCTTTGAATGTGATTGCTCAGAAGTGCGAGCTCCTCAAAGCGCTGGTGAACAATAGGCTGGAAGTTGAGTTAAAACTCTGTGACTGAGCTTAGCAGAGCGCGTCGCTTAGTTGTCCGTGTCTGATTGCCCTGCCATGAGACAGAATGTAGAGATTACTGCCGAAAAACCCAGCTATCAAACGCTACGGTGAGAATCTCCAGCTGTGCCTGGAACACACAGTCACTCTGCTGGTCCACAAAAAGCCCCCAAAGCCGCTCGGTGTTTTATAGAAACCCATGAAAATCCAGACATTCAGCTACCGGATCTACCAAAACCATGACAAACTACGCTGCTAAAACACTTCATGACACCCGAGGAACATGCGGAGCACTAGTTCCTCAAGGGCTCTAAGGAACTTAAGTGATCAGACGAGTTATAGACATGACATTATTTTCCCCAGAAATAACTCAATAAATAAAGGACATGTAAAATTAAATTTAAATTATTAAATTATTCAGCAAAATTCATTTTAGTTTCTTTTTCCCTCCAAAAGTCTGAAAATGTCATGCAGTCCAACCATATATGTTGATTAAGTAAACTATTTAAAAAAGGTGATTTATTTACATAAAATTCTAAATAAAATAGTTTGGCATTATTTTCTGTTTAAATACTTAAATAAAAACAATGTTGGAAAACTTTTGTCTGCAAGTTCTTACGTCCTCAAATGTCAGGCAGTGCAACCAAAAACAAAGGACTTTTATTTTGACATGCTCACAAATTTAGTAAAAATGTGATCTGAGTCATGGTTAGAACGGTTCAGTTTACCATGTCAGGTGGTCTGACCTCAGGATAATGTAAATAAATAATGTTTATTTGATAAAATGTATGTATACTCAATTTGTACGTAACTCAATAAATGTACATAACTCAAGTTGAAGGACAAAGGTGTCTACGGGTGTCTAAGTAGATGCCTGTTTAATTTGAAATTAGTCTGAAAAGTCAGGTGGCTCAACCAGTGGAGCAACCAGACCAACTCAGTTTAATAACTGAAATAGGAAATTAAAAGCTTTGATAAAACTCACAATATTTAAGATATTAATGTAAATATATAAGCAGATAGAAAAATGCACATCATGTCCTTTTTAATAAGATTTTAAAAACTGTCATTTTGAATTGTCAGTTTCATTATTTCATAGAATGTGCTTTTCGTGTTGTTACATTCTGCAGGTGCTGTAGTTAAAGTCTTATTTCATTACGTTTTGATTGAAAGAGTCACTGTAAAAGTGACATATAAGATCAAATATTTCACAGCTGTCAGAACAAAACGTTGTATCTCAATTTTTGTTGTTTTTCAGTTTTGGACATAATTTGAAAATGCCAGTTACTCTTTACATTGTGTGTAAATTTCATGATGAATGGACTAAAAGAAACGACCCAAAATGACTTGGAAAAAAGTCTGGTTCCATTGACTTACATTAAAAGTAGAGTAGGTTTTTTCTTCTCCTGTAAAGTTACCATTTTGGAGTTTTGTTCCGACAACAGTGATAGTGTCTAATATGTGTTAATGTCTGTTACAAGACAGAAATAAAACATACAGACCATCTTTTACAAGCTTTCACTATTTGTGTTTAATCTAGGGCAGGAAAAAAATCATGTTAATCTGAATCACTCTAAGATTAGTGCTAGCATACTACTAGAATCCCATAAGGGTGCAAGCAGAGATTAGCATCATGACAAAGGAAGTTTTTTTTTATTTTTTGCTAAGTTTATGGCTCAAACTGAAGGTCTAGCTCTAGTTTTCAGCATGGATAATGATCAGCTACTTACCGGTCAGGTAATCCAGGCCCTCCAGCATCTTCTTCTCTCGGCTGAAGTCCAGCGCGAACGTGTCGAACGTGTCGTTCACGTTGATCTCGGGGATCAGGATCTGTGAGGATGCCGTTGCCATTGAAACTCTAAAAGGACGGAGAGATAAGTAAGGCAAGGCTAGCAATGCTAGTCAGCACGATGCATGAAGGACATCAACAAGACACCAGATGGTAAAACTGTAATATAAAAGGCACAGTGAGCTTCAAAGTGTGGAGACTAAACCAGTCTTGGCAGCTTTGGAGCAGCTCTGAATGCTTAAAAGTGTCAATAGTGTAACTGTAAACGTTGCTGAGAACAGGGCTTGCCGTGGTGGTGACCCCTGACTGACCTCTCTGAGATGCTGCGGGCGGTCTGGAGGAAGCGGGCGTGGTCCGTTTCTTTAAGAGCCTGGTCGGCCTGGGTGATGAGGGAGGACGATCTCTCGATACACTGCTTACAGCTGGATATCTGCTGCGCCAGCTTACGGAGCCGCACCACCTGAAACCCACGTGTGGATCAGACGGGATACAGATCAGACAAATCTAATAATAACAGTGCTGAATTTACCAGAAGGAAAATGCTCTAGAACAGCTGGTCATCCTACCACTGCAGTGATAAACGAAGCCCAGAAAATGAGCTCAAAGTAAGAATAAACTACAGAAAACTTCTGTCTGTGTATTTTTTTATGTTCTTAAATTAACCAGCAAAAAACGTTGATAATACTTCTTTTTGAATTTTTTATTTTAGTGATTTTTTAGTCGTCTTGGACATTAAGGACAGCATGTCACACCGGGGACTTCGCAGACGCTAAGGTATTGTTTTCATGTGAAACAACAATTATGATGCTTGCCCTTTAGTTTAAACTGCAACAATGCATTAAAATCACTGTCTATCAAATGTTTCAATTATTTTAAATATGCAAAAATAATTAAATTTTAACAACAAATCTTGTGCCAAGATTTTTTATCAGGGTCTTACAGAATCAAAACATGTCATATTACAAAACAAGGAAGTTAATGAAATTTCTTTTTATATTTCTGATCATTTGGCTAAAATACTGACAGTTTCAAGCTTTGCAAAAAGATTATGTCAGTTACTCATGAAACATTACATGATTTTAGAATGTAAATAACAACATAAATGATGTATTTGTTTTTTTTTTTTACATACAGTGTAAGTATGGAGTGTCAGTGGACTGTATTGTATACAAAGGCTCTTTTTATTTGTTTTGTCAGTGGTGTTACAGTCCGCGGTATTATGGTCAGTGGTGATGTGATTAGTGGTGTTACGGTCAGTGTGTTACAGTCAGCAGTGTGACAGTCAGTGGTGTTAGGGTATGTGCTGTTATGGTCAGTGTGTTACAGTCAATGGTATTATATTACAGGCCGTGATGTTACAGTCAAAGTTGTCACAGTCAGTGGTGTTACAGTCAGTGTGTTACAGTCAGTGGTGTTACAGTCAGTGTGTTACAGTCAGTGGTGTTACAGTCAGTGTGTTACAGTCAGCGGTGTTACAGTCAGCGGTGTTACAATCAGCGGTGTTAGTCAGTGGTGTTACAGTCAGTGGTGTTACAGTCAGCGGTGTTACAATCAGCGGTGTTACAGTCAGTGGTGTTACAGTCAGTGGTGTTGTAGTCAGTGGTGTTATATTACAGTCAGCGGTGTTACAGTCAGTGGTGTTACAGTCAGTGGTGTTACAGTCAGCGGTGTTATATTACAGTCAGCGGTGTTACAGTCACCGGTGTTACAGTCAGTGGTGTTATATTACAGTCAGTGGTGTTACAGTCAGTGGTGTTACAGTCAGTGGTGTTACAGTCAGCGGTGTTATATTACAGTCAGCGGTGTTACAGTCAGTGGTGTTATATTACAGTCAGTGGTGTTATATTACAGTCAGTGGTGTTACAGTCAGTGGTGTTACAGTCAGCGGTGTTATATTACAGCCAGTGGTGTTACAGTCAGCAGTGTTACTGATGTTGTTCATTATAACAGATAATTGTTATTATAACAGATTTAAACGCTCATCCACATTACCTGAATTTATGGGTTTTGACATATAACCAGCCAGTATGTTCATCGTTACCATAGCAATGCAGTGTACCAAGGTGCTGGTTCATCCCAAATTTATCAGTTGTTAATGACCACACAAACATAAACAGCTGATGACAATTTGGTACATGACAATTTTCCAGCTGTATGAGTTGATGGCCGTCCAAACACTCCATTAGATTATTTGCTAGTGAATAATTTGTCCTGCCCTACTGGTCATCCTTCAGGATGTGGCAAGATTCCCAAAATCTTGCTGCCTTTAGGATCTACCAACTTTCATCTCTACACGTAGGAGAGTTTTTCTGAATTAACGCAGAGAAAAGTGATGCATCACAGTTTCTATCCAATGTATTTACAATGGTGTCATTCGGGGTCAGTTTCATTGGTCAGTCTGTACACTGTTAACATTTCCTTCAGTTTTCTATCTAGTGTAGAGCTGGGTTTCTGAGATCAGACGAGATTGGGCGTTCTCAGAGTGGTATGGCCGTAATCTAGTGCCTATCTAAGTGTGTAATCTTGATTTACGGCCAAAGTGCAGTAGAGTGTGTGCTGCTCTTTAGATTCTGTCCAGTGTTTGATGTCTGTTTCTGTTGGTTATAATGTGATTGAGTGTGATGTCCGTGGTCTAAGGTCTCTGACTCTCTGGACTGATGCTCAGCTTCCGGCTGATTAATACAGTCCTTTAAAGAAGAACCACTGTTAGTTCCTTGAAGAACTTGTTAATGGATGGTTCTGTATCATTTTTGTTAATGTGAATTAAATATATATTTATTGTTACGACTGTGGTGGGGGGGGTCATAAGATGATATCAAATGTTTAATGTGACAGTACTGGTGCCTTGAATCTGTTCCAACTTACAGCCCTCAGAAACACTAAACATTGTGATTATATACTGAGGATTATGAAACTGTGAACTGTGATATTATTTTACCTCCACATCACTCTTCTCTACTGGCTGTGCTTTATAATGGAGTGAACAGGAGTCTGTAAGTGTTAACTGCTTGTAGAGTTTCAGGACTTTTCCTTTAAAGCTGAAGAGAAGAGGATACTGTTCTAATCTGTCCTGGAGGGTGGCGCTTGACCTTTGACCCTGACGTGCGGTGAGGAAGGAAACGGCACTCCTATGAGAGAAAGCAACAAAAGCTTCTCTCTCTTTTTTATCATCTAACTGAAAAAAATACAGCTACGCAAGTTACTAATATAAACCACATTCACTGCCCAAAGGCACTGCGGTCCCACTTTATATGAAGTGTCTCTATATTAACTGTGTAGTTACGTGTAAATAACATATGCAACAACAATGTAACTACTAATGATTTAGTCACTGTTACAGATGTATTACAGAAGGACACCTTATGTAATTACACGTGTATCAACTTCAGATTTGCCTCATGTAATTACACAAGTGCATCTTAATAGTTGTAACAGCCTTTTCTCTCTCATGTAGTTACACAAGGGTAATAACAAATGTAATTACAGTAGTAATCAGACTGGAACAGCAGTTTATTCCAGCAGTAAAAGGAAGTTTGTAATAACTTACATTAAGACATTACTTACACTGTATCTGCCAGCTTTCATAACATTTAGCCAGCATTTCTGTTGCTAGTGCTGTGACACTGTAACAAGTTTCGGCTTTAAACCACTCTGTAATGTGACAGAACAGCAGACGCCCCCTTATATTAACATGTAACTGTCATGACATTAATTAAAAGTGCTGCATTACCTGTAAAGCAATGTCTATATTACCAGTCTGTTATTACACAGTACCTACATAACAACTACACAGGAACTGCCCACTTACTTTAAAGTATAACTTTAACACTGCACTACAGAAAAGTTCCTGTGTAGTTGTTATAAAGGTACAGTGTAATTACAGAATGGTATTAATCGATGTTATGTGATTAGTTCACCTTGTTACAACACAGTTATTCCACAGTAATTATGTAAAACATAAATGTAATGCTTTGTAAAACATACTTCCTTTAACTGCTGGAAAAGACTTCTGATCTGTAGTGTATCAAAAAGATGCACTTGTGTAATTACATGAGGCAAAACTGAAGTTGATACATGTGTAATTACACAGGCTGTACTTCTGCAATCCATCTGTAACATTGGCTAAATCATTAGTTACACTGTTGTTGCATACGTTATTCATGTGTAACTACACATTTATTAGAGACACTTAATATGAAGTGGGAGCGGCATTGCACATAATTGCTGCAACAATATTGCTTTTGTCTGGATGTGTTTCTTAATTATTTAAATTATTATTATAAGGTGTAACGTTAAACTCAGGGAAAACTTCAGACATACAATTAGAATCTTGAAATTAAATTAACTGCAAAAGGAAAATCGGAGCCTCTCCACAGTGCGTTGGACGCGTGGATGAGGTTCATCTTACACAATATAAATAATCTACTAAGGCCATGAAGGCAGCTTCAGACTTCTTGGCCGTCTTAAGTTCTGAAATCCAAACTACTTTAAATGTGAAAAATTAATAGCACACAGACGTGGATACACGCAGACTTCAATATCATAACTCATCCTTTACGTTCAGTACTTTGGCTGATATTCAATGCTAATAGTCAACATAGAAGTCAGCTAGGTTGGTTTTAGCTTAAGTTGAAACTAAATAATAAGAAACAGTGATCAGATATAGCAACAATAATCTGCATGTCATTTCAGACATGCTGAGCTAAACCTGCCGGATATTACAATGTAAGTGTAAAGTGGTCAGCAACTGGAAGCACAAGGTGGGTGTTTCTAATAAAGTGCCCACTGAGAGGAAGCACAAGGGAGACGTTTCTAATGAAGTGGCCAGTGAGTGGAAGCACAAGGTGGGTGTTTCTAATAAAGTGGCCAATGAGTGGAAGCACAAAGTTGGTGTTTCTAATAAAGTGGCCAGTTAGTGGAAGTGCAAGGTAGGTGTTTCTAATAAAGCGGCCAGTGGGTGGAAGTAGGAGGTTCTAGTAGTAGTTTTAGGGTGCTGGTGGTGATCGTACCTTGCCCTCTTTTATTTTGGTCCCGATGATTTGCCTCCGTTGCTGAATGATGTCGATCAGTGTGTCACACTCTTCTAACAGCTTGTTCTCCTGTCGAGACGCGTTCATCTGCAAAACAGACAGCAGCTTCGGCCTCAGAGCGGAAAACTGAACGGCAGCTGGGCACAAACTGGTCAGCATCACTCTGACAGTCGTGACTCATAGACCCACATATGTCCCCCCGACTCACTCACTCAGACACACTCGTGACAAAACAACAGGACAAACCGAACCGTCACAGCGAATTAAATCACAGCTGAGTCACAGATCTGCATCATCGTGATCTGTACTGAACATGGCGACAGCCGCAGCTCTGACAGCTGACAGGTTCATCAGAGAGGGCATGAAAATAGCTTTAACAGCCCCTTAATTTATAAAAATCAACCATAATGAAGACATTTGTTTCAGAAACAAACTATTTACACCTTATTTTAGGTTTAAAAATAAACAACTGTGAATTCGCTGTTACTGTATAATGTATATTCCCAGCAGAGCACATGCGATGTTTTAACATTCATCAGTTAAATCTCTCTTATATGCTAATTTCCACTGCAAATAATTAAAGGTCCAAGCACTGAAGGTTCCGGAAGCCTATTATATTATTTATTTATTTATTTATGTTTTGTAAATACTTTTCAGTACAGTAAGAACTTACAGTGTAATAGATAAATATAGTAATTACAAGTACTTTCGGGAAACACTTTCTATGAATACCATGTCTATAACAATCTATAGCATTCATAAGGCATCATAAACATGACTAGACAATTTTCTAAAAATGCATTACATTTTATAGCCATGTTTACTGTACATTATGAATTGTTAACATGATGCATTTCAAAGTAGTGTTCATAACACGTTATACTGGACCAGAGAAGCTTGAACAGTGCAAATACTAACAAACCTGCCTGTTCATAAACACACACAGTATGTATGTACTTGTCATTACTGACATAGGCGAGAACTATGGGGGGGGGCAAGAAAATGAAAGTGAAACTGCATAAAACAGCCTGAAAGCAGCTTCTATAGCGATGCTGCATTTAACAGTAGGGATTTTTAGCACGCAGGGCAGGGTCGCTATAGCAATGCGTTTCACTTATGGGTTTTCTCTGGGCACACAGGGTTGCCAGATTTGTCAGTGTCCCAACAAATCCACCTAGTTTGCAAATGCACTGCAGGTGGGACTGATACACTCGTGGCCGTAAATCTTTATTTGAACTAGTTTCTAAATGTATTGCAGGCACAGAAAACAATAAATGAATAGTGTTATGAATGCATATTGATCCTAGTGTTGAACAGCTGGCAACCCAAGGCCCCACAGGCACATACAGTAAAAGAACCAGCAGAAGAGCGCGACTCGTTCTGACCATTCTAAACCAGAAGACGGGCAAATGTGCATGTAATATTATTATTATTATTATTACTATTAATTAAAAGACTGCTTTTACTAGGACAGTAAGGCCCAGTCCAGTTTCACCCCTCGCCCCTACCACTCAGCCCTTAGCCCTCTGTTTTGTGCATTCTCATCTAGGTGTAGGGTGTCCCAATTCTTGTTGAGATAGAGGGGTAGGGCGAAGTCTTGGGGCTACATGACCCTCCAAACGGAGGTTTTTCAGAGACTCCAAACAGAGAGTTATGAGGAAATAAGAAAAACCGGCAAGATGGAGAACAAGAGACCAAAGAAACCCACAAATGTGAGAATTTTCTCTGTTAAAAAATTACGATAAACACTGTATTATCTTAGTTTAACGTTGTTTCAGTGTATTATGGTCCTTTTCTTCATAACAAGCATAAAAATTGCTAGTACTATGCTAATATCTCGGTAGCTAGCTAGCTAACTTTCCCGTTCCACCTTAAATAGTCCAGCAGTTCTGACGCCTGAACGGCCAGAATGTAACTGCTGCACCATTTAAGGTGGAACGGGAAAATTCGAACAAGAATCTGGAGAATATCTGACTTCAGCTTCATATCACTGAAGAATTAGGGGTGGGTGATAATAAATAATTGCCCCCCTCTTTGAAGATCATATGATGCCCTAAATGTAACTAAAGCCCAGCAGTGAGGAGCTGAACTTTACCCTCCTCTGCTGTCACTGCAGACTGGCAGGGTCGCCTACAGAGCAGCGCTGGTAGCTGTTAATGAAGTGATGCTCTTTTTATTTGAGGGTCTCATTTCAGAGGAAGATTTCAACCACTACCCTGTAACTCAGTTCCAAGGGGCAACACTCGAAAACAAGGGGTAGGGGTAAAAATAAGAAATGGGACTGGGCCTTAGTGTCCATGAGTAATATGAGTTGATAGATGATCTGTTAGCTGTTAATAAATATGATGTTTTTTTAAACTCTGTTTCAGATATTTACGTTTGGACACATTTGGGCCAGTTTCAGCGTCTGGTGGGTTTTAAGTAAACTTTCGGCTTGACCCGGTTCACACTTCACGGCGTCAGCGTGACTGATGCAGCTCGCACGCACTGGTCATTCACCCAGACAGTGTTTGCGCTGCGGGGCAGGGCAGCAAAAAAGGTCAAGACAAAAAACAGAAAACAGAGTCAAATCGGTCACTTTGCTTAAACAAAGTATAATTCGTAAAAAAGCATTGTACATTTTGTTGTTGTACATTGTACTCATTCTGACTTCTGATTGGGCGATTGTTACACCACCCGGGAAATCTGTTTGCAGCATTGAATGTTTACATTTTTTTTTGCTTTTTTGCTTTTTCCAGTTTTCTCCCCAGTTTAGACGTAACCAATTCCACCCACTAGTTAGGATTCCCCATATCACACGATACCACCTGATCCAGGAGGGCGAAAGCTGGCACAGGTTTCTTCTGAGACCTGTAAAGCTCCACGTCAAGCATGGAATGTTTAACTATATTAATCTGCCAAAATAAAAAAATTCCACATTTCTCTGCAGAGGTAGTTTTTTTAAATTAACACTATGTTCACTTAATAATGATACTAGTAATTAATATTACAAGCAAACCACACACCAGCAGCGCAAAGCAATCACATTATCTACTTTATCACAAAAGTGCATGATAACGAAAACAAAATCAATAAGTAATAATTTATGAGTATTCACCCATGATCCATACTTCAATGTACTTCCCTCAAATTAAACATCTGTAATCAGATCAGGATTAAAATTGAAGCCCATGGTGAGAAATTTAATATTGGAAATGCCATAGAGTGAATAAACTATGACTCACTGTACTTATAACTGACAAATACAACTTAAAAGCTCTTATAATGGGCTTATAATATCATATATCTATCAATATCTTTACTCATAATGACATTAATTCTGCATCTTTGACTTCTTTGGCACTCACAGTATACCATGTTATGAAAACTACTTATAATGCATTATGTTAACAATTCATAATGCATGATAAACATGGCTATAGAGTGAAATTTATTTTTATAAATAATTGCCATGCCATGTTTATAACGCCTTATGAATGCATTATAACATCTTCTGAATGTGTTTATAGATGCTCACAGACATGGTACTCATAGAAAGTGTTACCGTACTTTATGGTACATCACTTGCAAATTCATAGTAACTTAAAAATATGAGAGTACTTAGTGCTGTCATACATAACATTAATAACCAAACATAATGTTCATATGTAAAATGTATGTCCACACATAAGGCTCATTCATAACCATTCGTAACCTTGCATTCATAAGCATGCATAAATTGATAACCATACATTAGGTTCACAACCATGCATAATGTTCATAACGAAACAATGTTCACAACCAAACATAACATTCATAACCAATTTCATAACCATGCATAATGTTCATAACCATGCAAAACATTCATAACCATGAATAAAGTTCATAAAGATGCATAACGCTCATACCCATGCATAACATCCATAACCATGCAAAACATTCATAACCATGAATAAAGTTCATAAAGATGCATAACGCTCATACCCATGCATAACATCCATAACCATGCACAACATTTATAAATAGTAATGTTTATAACAATACACAATGATCATAACCATGTGTAATGATCATAATCATACATTAGGTTCACAACCATGCACAATGTTCATAACGAAACAATGTTCACAACCAAACATTCATAACCATGTATAACAATCATAACCAAACATAATGTTAATAACAGTACATAATGATTATAACCATGTGTAATGATCATAATCATGCATAAGGTTCATAACCATGCATAATGTTTATAACCACGCATAATTCACAAGCACATTATATATATATATATATATATATATATACACACACACACACACACACACACACACACACACACACACACACATATATATATATATATATATATATATATATATATATATATATATATATATATAAACCATACATAGCATTCATAGGCAATGTTTGTAAACATACAAAAGCTTCATAACCACACATAAAGTGTTAAATGTAATATGAAGGGCCAGTGCATGTTTTACATAGGAACACAGAAAGTAACTGTGATCTGTATGTAGTGTTGATATAACTGATAAAAATACATAACAGATAAAAAGTCCGCGGTTTCCAAATCTGTCGCCCAGAAACGAGTCAGAGGAACCGAAGTGTGAAAACTCGACAGACTAAAGTAACCCAGCTGCTCTCACCTCTACATGCTGGCAGGTTTGGATCAGCTTCCCCATCAGACCCTCCAGCTCGTTGTTCCGCTTGATCAGGCTGCTGAGGTTCGATTCCAGTCCATGCTGGAGATGAAAGGAAGAAGAAAAGATGTTTCACAGCATGACACGTCAGATCTAATCAAATTCCAAATCAGAATATAAACAGTAGTAAACAGATACATAAATCCTGAGCTGTAGGAGTGAGAAAAAAACAGTAATACACATCGTACGTCCATTTCTGAGCGTTTCTGAAGCACAATCTGCACCACCGACGTTTCAGACGCGTCTCTCGGCACAACTAGAGCCGCAGACGTCTGTATTAACCCGGCAGCCTGTGGGGGAGGAGGGGGAGCGGAGCTGATCTAAAGAGAGAAAACTCGACCATGCAGAAATCTCTCTCACTCCACTGCCCTCAAACCTCGCCAGCCTGTCCACTACGTTCAAACCTCAGCCTCGTCTGACTCCGCATAAAGCTTTTTATTATTTAAAACCCCAAATCTGCTCTTGTGGTGGATTTACTGAACACGCAGTACATACTGGATGTAGATTACAAGGAGAATTCCACCCAAATATCCGCATAATCAAGTTACTGTTCATCATTTTATTATTCTGTGCTTTTTTGGTACCTTTTCATGGGTAATAGTTTTCCACTGAGAACCAAGAAACACTGCAAGATCACAGAGTCTATATGGGAATAGCACATTTGTGCATTTGGGACCGATCGGATACGGTTTTTGTAGAGCATTCATTCAAACACACTAACTAGTAAATGGCCGAATGGTAAGAGAGTTCAAATATATATACATAACATCACCTTAGCACCTGGGAAACCATAGCAGCCTAGCTACACCCTAGCAACCACCTGGAATAGCACAGCAATGTCTTTGCCAAGCCAATTAGGTTGAACGTTTCCCGTCAGATTTAATGGTTGCTATTTGATTCAAAATGGTTTGATGTAAAAGGACTCACTCAGATTTCTATTATAAGCAATGTTGATGGTAAAATGGTGGAAAATCAGAAAAATTAAGTTTTTTTCTCGGGACTGTTTTTTACATTTTAGGCCAAACCTTGAAGTATTGCAAAACAATGTCAGACATCGGGACTGTATTCATAACCATTTCACACCGTAACTTTCTGTGAGGAAGCTTTTAGAGGTGGACATCTGGTTCCTATCACCACCAATGTGAACAATTCTGACTCGGAGAACCACTCTAAATGGACTTTGTTTACATTTTAACCATTTGGCAGAATTTTTCTAAATTTGGTGGAATTCCCCTTTAAGACTGTATGGTGCTCTACATAAACGGAACAGCTGTATGACAGAGTGGGGGGTGGTCAATCTCCAGTTTAACGTCTAATCCCAGATGAGCTGTCACTGTTTATCCTGCCAGCCACCATAAAGCTATTTAAATGCTAACAGAAGACAAGCAGCAGCTGAATATGATATATTTGCATTGAAAAATTCATAACAACACCACATAACAAGCATTACACTGTCACCACAGTTTATAATTGCACTGAAAAATGCAAGCCGTCATGGTTTTATTTCCCTGGGGTTGTCCTCATCAAACTTTCATTGGGGCAGAGAACACAGAAAGCAGTTACGCCGAATCAAAGCAGGCATCAAACTTTCAGCCGGCGTTTGTGCGTCGAGAGGCACACGTGCAGAATTAATCTCACACAGTGACTCATAACAATCCAGAAGCCGGACGGGCGGCTCTTTTGGGTCAAAGACTTTCCACGCCGTGATCTCGTAATCCGCCGGCCGCAAAATCCGAGCCTTTTTTCAAAGCTCCTCTTGCTCCGAAATCATTTATTCATGGAGGAACGCAGGTGCTGAAAGCCAGCCGAGTGGCAGAAAAGGTGCAGAATGAGAGCTTCTATTTTTGGCACAGATTCAGAGCAGCGTCAGATCAATCTCGCCATGTTTTCAGTGGGAGGACGACTAATCTGGAGGCTCAGAGGCCTTAGAAACCTGCAAGAGTGAAACCTCTGGATTGCAAAAGAAACTGTGATATAATCTGACTGATTCTGCATTTGTTTATTTGTTTATTTGATTGTTTATTTATGCTTACCTATTTGTGTACAGATCTGGGAACACACTAAGGCCCAGTCCCATTTCTTATTTTTACCTCTACCCCTTGTTTTCGAGGGTCACCCTTTGGAACTGAGTTACAGGGTAGTGGTTGAAATCTTCCCTCTGAAATGGGACCCTCAAATAAAAAGAGCATCACTTCATTAACAGCTACCAGCGCTGCTCTGTAGGCGACCCTGCCAGTCTGCAGTGACAGCAGAGGAGGGTAAAGTTCAGCTCCTCACTGCTGGGCTTTAGTTACATTTAGGGCATCATATGATCTTCAAAGAGGGGGGCAATTATTTATTATCACCCACCCCTAATTCTTCAGTGATATGAAGCTGAAGTCAGATATTCTCCAGATTCTTGTTCGAATTTTCCCGTTCCACCTTAAATGGTGCAGCAGTTACATTCTGGAGCTTCAGGCGTCAGAACTGCTGGACTATTTAAGGTGGAACGGGGAAGTTAGCTAGCTAGCTACCGAGACGTTAGCATGCTATTAGCGATTTTTTATGCTTGTTATGAAGAAAAGGACCAAAATACACTGAAACGACATTAAACTAGGATAATATAGTGGTTATTGTAATTTTTTAACAGAGAAAATTCTCACATTTGTGGGTTTCTTTGGTCTCTTGTTCTCCATCTTGCTGGTTTTTCTTTTTTCTCATATCTCTTTTCTCATATCTCTTTGGAGTCTCTGAAAAACCTCAGTTTGGAGGGTCATGTAGCCCCAACACTTCACCCTACCCCTCTATCTCAACAAAAATCGGGACACCCTACCCCTAGATGAGAACGTGCAAAACAGAGGGCTAAGTGGTAGGGGCGAGGGGTGAAACTGGATTGGGCCCTAAATTTTTACCTTAGAATTTAGAAAAATGTAAATGACAGAAAAGAACAGTGTTGAAGTTTAGTAGAAGACTTACCCTCATGTTAGGACTGAACGATTTGGGCAAAATATCTAATTGTGATTTTTTTGACCAGAATTGTGATTTAAATTGCGATAGTTTTTTTTGTTTTTTTAATTGAAGTCCATGCATTTTTTTTTACCAAGAAGACTGTAATGGTGGCAGACGGAAGCAGACGCTCGCAGCAGAGGCTTAAATTAAGATCTTTAATAACAAAGGGGTCGTCCAAAATCACAGTCGTAGAGCCAGACAGTCGAAAACCAGATAACCAAAACAGAACAAAAGGGAACAGCGAGAATCAAAGTAAACAGAAAACGGGTTATAAACGGGTAAGCAGTCAGATACACAAGAGGAACGCTCAGTACGCACAGGGGTGACGATACTTCGTATTCCTGTACTAAACTGAATGACAGGGTAATATGGAACAGGTGTGAGTGCAAATCAGAAGTGGAGCACTGAGAGGTGGGTCTGTGAGAGTCCTTAGTCATATGATGCAGCAAGGAGTTCTGGGAATTAGAGTCCTGGGGGGGCCCTGTTGGCAGACGTTCCAGCCACGCCCGAGGGAGACATGACAAAGACCAACATTTCCACTTTTTCTGGCTTGTTTCTTCTCTTGCGATTTGAAAACTGCTCTCTTTCAAATTGCAATTTCGATATAAAAACAATTAATCGTTCAGCCCTACTACATATTTCAGTGTGCAGGAGTGTTGGCTTGCTAGTAGCACAAATGCAGCATTATTTGTATGTTGAATGCTAAACCACCTTGTGATTCAGAGCATCCATTGACATTCAGAGGAAAAATGTACACAGGACAAAACAGCTTTGGAGCACTGGAGGGTGAAATAATGCAGATTTTCGAAAACAGTTCATTTCCCATAGAAAAAGAACAGCTTTGACCCAGAACTCCTTATTTGGGCATGACTACAGAGGACTGCACTGGTCTTTTACTAATTCAGGCTATATTCCAAAAGGCTTTTTAGCACAAACGCATAAATAACATTGGAATGAATGAAGGTAACATTAAACGTCACCTGATAATCACAACACCGTCTCTACCTGCTCTCACGTTACGCATTCAGAGTGGTTTCATGGTTTCAGTGATAAGCCTGAGCAGCGTATAAGAGAGAGAAAAAGCAGAGGAAAAAGGCTGTTTTCATGCCCAGACACTTTCTCCACCGTGGCAATTTCCTGCCCTATCAGGTTTTTTCTCAGGAAGGAAAAGAGACTCCCTAAGCCAAAGGTGTGGAGCCAAGCGCCGTTTCCAAGCGGAGGAAGCTGCCAGATTTCCCTTTTTCATCCGTTTCGAGTTACTCTCTGTTTATGAGTTTCAGCAGATAGCAGAGCAAACGCCAAAACACCACATGTACCAATCACTCTCTGGTATTTCAGCATTAGAATCCCTCTGCAGACCCGACCCGCTCGGCCTGCTGAGAGATTAGAACTGACCGCTCGGCAAAGCCGATGGACACGCTTCATCTGGCTCTTAAGCAGAGGTTGTTGATGTGAGAGCTTCACTCACCGGAATCAAAACAAATGTCTTGCTGTTATTAATCAGATCACCGTTTGGAGATTCGAGTCTAGTTTAGCGTCTCTCAGAGAAAACAAAGACAAACAGTCAACATGTCCGGGGCGTAACATGCTTTACCCTCTACTGCAGGCATTATGAGAGCAATTAAAAAAATATTTAATTCACTTTTCTTGCATGAAATGGTCCTTGATTTATGTTTTTGAACCGATTATGAAATAAAAAAACCAATAATATAAAAACAATGTGTGCAGGGGCCTTTTTGGAGTATGTTGCCTTGAGGCAACATTGTGGAACAACGGGAAAAAATGTATGTTGCCTTGATGTAGAGCTGTGTTCCCTGAAGTGGTGAGATCTGGCTTGTGACTGGCTAAATCCATTCCATTGTCTCACAGTGTTGCTTCTAGGCAAGAAAAACATTTCTACAAATTCTCATGACAAAAAAAATTGATACTGAACATTAACCTCTTATTCTCCAGGGTATATTTTGTTTTTTCCATCTGAATTTTCATGACCAAATCGTAAGGCAAATTATTCAGTAACTACATGAAATAAATGTAAATTTTTATTTTATTTTTCC